TGAGAGCCATCACTCTGTATGTCAACAGAGCACTACCAGCTGCACCCATGGATTGGTGAACACTGGATCGAATTTCACTACCAGCTGCACCCATGGATTGGTGAACACTGGATCGAATTCCTCTGCAATGGCTAATACATGCCTTGATTGAGGGAGACCTGAATGAGTATCTACAAAAGATACAGCTACATGGACGATCTGAACGAGTATCTACAAAAGATACAGCTGCATGGACGATCTGAACGAGTATCTACAAAAGATACAGCTACATTCACTAGTGACTGTGGAATTACTAACTCATCTGCTAGGAGTACTCAACTCGACTGTTCGATACAGTAATTCTTGGCTCATTACAAAGTCACTAATGGGTGCTGGTGGCTACACAGTCAGAATAAGATCTTCCTGGAGCAGGAATCGAATCACCAGAACACAAGGGATCAGTTCTTTCTTACTGGAGGAATGGATGGAGTGGATGACTCTCCCCGGTTGAAAAAAAATTAACGCTGTAACAGGCAATATGAGCAAGGGAGAACGAATCTACTATCTCAAACTGCAAGCACAGGAGAAAATAAATGAACATGGTCAACAATGCTGATATTCAATCTGAGTCGCACACAGTGAAACGAGGTATCAACTATAAAGAAACTTCACTTACAAATGTTAACAACATGTGAAAGTTACTCGAAAAATAACTTCTTACACTGCACGAATTACATGCGCATCCCGTGATGTCACACAGTCACTCGGCCTAGGGATCTTCTATGTAAACACATGGATGGTACTATGATATGCTATACAACACATATAAGGGGATCAGCAACTATGCTGACACCTGAATCCATTCAATAAATATTACCCTGCTCACACTCCAACAGCTCGTCAGGTCCCAAATACCATTCATCTCCATTCACTCCTATCGAACATGCTCATGCACGCTTGCTGGAAGTCCAAGCCCCTTGCCTACAAAACCTCCTTTACCCCCTCCCTCCAACCTTTTCGAGGACGACCCCTACCCCGCCTTCCTTCCCCTACAGATTTATACGCTCTCCATGTCATTCTACTTTGATCCATTCTCTCTAAATGACCAAACCACCTCAACAACCCCTCTTCAGCCCTCTGACTAATACTTTTATTAACTCCACACCTTTTCCTAATTTCCACACTCCGAATTTTCTGCATAATATTTACACCACACATTGCCCTTAGACAGGACATCTCCACCGCCTCCAACCACCTCATCGCTGCAGCATTTACAACCCAAGCTTCACACCCATATAAGAGTGTTGGCACTACTATACTTTCATACATTCCCTTCTTTGCCTCCATAGATAACATTTTTTGCCTCCACATATACCTCAATGCACCACTCACCTTTTTTCCTTCATCAATTCTATGATTAACCTCATCCTTCATAAATCCATCCGCCGACACGTCAACTCCCAAATATCTGAAAACATTCACTTCTTCCATACTCCTCCTCCCCAATTTGATATCCAACTTTTCTTTATCTAAATCATTTGATACTTGTACAGCATAAAAATAATGAACATTTGAATTTGAAGATGAGCATAGAAATTAAATATAATGAGAGCAGATTTCTGAATATAAATCCTAACACCATGGTACTGAAGCCCCTCTCTCCGTTTTCTTAACTTCAAGAAGTTAACGGGGAAGTGATTTTTTTTAATATATAGAGTAAGATTTGTTAATATATTGAGTTGGAGTTGAAGTTATATGTAAGAAATGAGGGCAATTTAGAGGGTGGGACTGATTCATGGACTACACTCTTGTAGACACAACTGTGGAAATTTATTTGGTCCCTAAAGTTCCACAGGACAGATCCAGCATGGCCATATGGGACGGCTGAGCTGGATGGCCCTTATACCCCACCCAGACAGGGAAGCATTCTCTTGTCGGCGATGGATTCTTGGTAGGCATGTATTTAATTTATAGATTTACTCTTCAGGGAAGGAGTAGGTAGTTTTACTGGTAGTACACTAATATTAGGTTTACTAAGGCATCTGTAGATAATGATAATGTAGACCTAAGACCTTAACATAGGTAGTAATAGGCCGATAATGTAGGCAAACACTAGGATAAGTTAGCTAGGGAGAACTGGCAGCCCTAGTTTGAACGAAGAGACGAGGGTCTGGAAGAGGGACCAGCTCGTTCTTCTTAAGACGGACACCATCAAGACAAGACGTGCCGTGATCAGCAGACGGCGCCCCCACGTGTCTTCACATCTGAGACTTGGGGAAATCTGGTAGAGGCACCTCGATGTACCGTAGATGACCTCCGTCAGGCCCATACAGTAAGACAAGACCTTCACTTTTTTTCTCGTAGATTACTGGCCAGTGTCTGGGGAGATTGTGAGTGAGTCAACTGTGGGCCCGGTTGCAACAGGTTGAGAATGCCCAGTAAGTACCAGTGTCTCAGAGCAGTCTTGAAGCTAGTGTCTGAGTCTGCATAGTTATACTAGGGGATACATACCCTCTTGGATATAGGAATTTCTGAGGTGCAGGCAGGACACTAATTACGATTGAATATTGCAGGAATTAATGCTCCCGGTTGCACGTGGTTTCTGAGGGGGAGTCCAAAGGGGCTAAGGCTAGCTTAGGGAAGCGAAGATCAGGATATATGCTGCAACACCAAGTAAGTTAGTCCTTTATACGTGCATGCAGGCGAGGTTTCTTGCAATACCAATCATTTGTGAAAATCTGTCCTATAAGCCACTTGTGAGGCTGAGGTACCCACCTCAGAGCTCGGTGTCAACAGAGTTTGCCAGGGTAGGCAACTCACTTGGAGGCAGTCCACACAAATTTTCACAACATTAAGGGGTTCGGTTACTGTGGTGAAGGTTAGAAATGTTTACCCTGGCTGATGCAATATTTCAATTAAGAATAAAATGGGGGAGACGGCAATAGAAGGAGGAGAAAGCAGACGAGGAGGAGGAGAAGGATAAATTGATAAATTTGACAGATATGCTGCACATCTGTCAAATTTATCAATTTATCCTCAGTAAAGATACCCAAGTGTTGCACATGATGTGCAACACTTGGGTATCTTTACTGAGGAAATGTTTTGCTACACAGTGGCTTCATCAGTCCAATATAAAGAAGAATGGTGAAGATCAGAAGGAGACCATTTTTAGGTAATCAGTCCCTTAGCCTTGAGTCGATGTCATCAATCTTAAAAAGAACACAGCATATGCGGTAGGTGGGTAACACAGGACAAGTGATTCCTGACGCGGGTCTCAGGCATATGATGACACGACATTAGAGCTTTTGGTCATCTGATCGAGGCCTTCCGCTAGCTTACCGGTCCATCCCTTTTAAGATAAGATAAGATAAGATAAGATTTCGTTCGGATTTTTAACCCTGGAGGGTTAGCCACTCAGGATAACCCAAGAAAGTCAGTGCGTCATCGAGGACTGTCTAACTTATTTCCATTGGGGTCCTTAATCTTGTCCCCCAGGATGCGACCCACACCAGTCGACTAACACCCAGGTACCTATTTGCTGCTAGGTGAACAGGACAACAGGTGTAAGGAAACGTGTCGAAATGTTTCCACCCGCCGGGAATCGAACCCGGGCCCTCCGTGTGTGAAGCGGAAGCTTTAGCCACCAGGCTATTATAGCCTATGTAGACATATGTAGACATATGAGGTGACGCAGTCGTTGGCGATATCACAGTGGAAAAATCCACATCCAGCCGGGTTGTGGTTCGTACGTCGGTTTGCGTGCGGCCAGCAGTAACAGCCTGGTTGATCAGAACCTGATCCACCACGAGGCCTGGTCTCAGACTGGGCCGGGGGCGGTGTTGACCCCCGAAGCCCACTCCAGGTATACTCCAGGTATGTGGATAAGGCAGAGGAAGAGGAGGAGGAGGAGGAGGAGAAGAAGGATAAGGAGGAGGAGAAGGATAAGGAAGAGGAGGAGAAGAATATGACAGAGAAGGAGGAGAAGAAGGATATAGCAGAGAAGAAGGAGAAGAAGGATAAGGCAGAGGAGGAGAAGGATAAGGCAGAGGAAGAGGATGATGAGGAGAGAGATGGTAGAGGGGGAGGAGGAGGAGAAGGATAAGACAGAGGAAAAGGATAAGGCAGAGGAGAAGGAGAAGGCAGAGAAAGAGGATAAGGCAGAGGAAGAGGAGGGAGGAAGCAGAGGAGGGAGGAAGCAGAGGAGGGAGGAAGCAGAGGAGGAAGGAAGCAGAGGAGGGAGGAAGCAGAGGAGGGAGGAACCAGAGGAGGGAGGAAGCAGAGGAGGGAGACAGCAGAGGAGGGAGGCAGCAGAGGAGGGAGGCAGCAGAGGAGGGAGGCAGCAGAGGAGGGAGGCAGCAGAGGAGGGAGGCAGCAGAGGAGGGAGGCAGCAGAGGAGGGAGGCAGCAGAGGAGGGAGGCAGCAGAGGAGGGAGGCAGCAGAGGAGGGAGGCAACAGAGGAGGGAGTAAGCAGAGGAGGGAGGCAACAGAGGAGGGAGTAAGCAGAGGAGGGAGGTAGCAGAGGAGGGAGGCAGCAGAGGAGGGAGGTAGCAGAGGAGGGAGGAAGCAGAGGAGGGAGGAGCAGAGGAGGGAGGAGCAGAGGAGGGAGGCAGCAGAGGAGGAGGCAGCAGAGGAGGGAGGCAGCAGAGGAGGAGGAAGCAGAGGAGGGAGGCAGCAGAGGAGGGAGGCAGGGGAGGCAGCGAGGAGGAGAGGGGGGGGGGAGAGGCAAGAGAGGAGGGAGGCAGCAGAGGAGGAGGGCAGAGAAGAAGGGAGGGAGGCAGCAGAGGAGGGAGGCAAGCAGAGGAGGGAGGCAGCAGAGGAGGGAGGCAGAGAGGGGGAGGAGCAGGAGGAGCAGCAGAGGAGGGAGGCAGCAGAGGAGGGAGGCAGCAGAGGAGGGAGGCAGCAGAGGAGGGAGGCAGCAGAGGAGGGAGGCAGCAGAGGAGGGAGGCAGCAGAGGAGGGAGGAAGTAGAGGAGGGAGGTAGCAGAGGAGGGAGGAAGCAGAGAAGGCAGGAAGCAGAGGAGGGAGGCAGCAGAGGAGGGAGGCAGCAGAGGAGGGAGGCAGCAGAGGAGGGAGGCAGCAGAGGAGGGAGGCAGCAGAGGAGGCAGGCAGCAGAGAAGGCAGGCAGCAGACACTGCGCACATCGCCTCACAACACAACATTCTCCCACCAACTGGTCGAGAATTTACTGTTAAACTTGTGATGATGAAGTTGTTGCTGGTGGTGTACACTGCTGCATCATGCCTGGCCTCAGCACAGCTCCTGCGACCATACAAAATGGTAAGGTGGGGCTGGAAGCCCTGGAATACCTGTCTTCCAGCCTTACTCTCTGGAAGCCACGGCTTTGTTCCCTATCTGAACTATTTCATTGATTTCTTCAGCATGATGTATTATTGTCCACCCATTAATGGTTGCTCGTACTATCACTAACTACTCTCAAACTACTCTTAATGACTTGTGCAATAATTATATTAACCTTTCACCGGCAAAGACGACCATGGAACACTTGATTACTATATAATTTTATATACTATGAATATATATATATAATAAATAATTTTTTTTAAGATTTTGCCACCGAAGTGGCTAGTTTATTGTACACCCTATATCCAGCCTGTGGACGGTAGCGGAAGAGAATATGGATAAAAAATAGGCCTAGGAACTAGGCCCCAAAGGGTTAACAGGAATACATATGGATTTATATCTACATATCTATAGTTCACTTATCTGTTACAAGCAAATTTAGGAAATTTGCTTAGTATATGTGGTATCTTATTTTCATTAATAAGATATCTTGACATGTCACATAGGTTATTATACTGTCTGTCTCTGTATTCTTCAATAAGTGGACAATTAAGTACATAGTGTTCAAGACAGTGACCATATGCCTGATCTCATAATTTACATTTAGTTTGATCATCATCTGTGTGTCTCCCAAACTGCCAGAAGTACTTGTAACCAAGTCTAAACCTGACCACTGGAGTTTTGAGACTATGACCGCGGGTTCAATCCCGGCCGGGGGTATGGTTTTTTTGCTCCATAAACATACTTATCTACGTTCATGTTAACATAGTGGGTTATAGATCTACTCAGGCTTCTAACTGCATTCCTATAACAATCATTTTCATTATTTACTTCTCTCCTAATATTAACATATTTTCATTATTTACTTCTCTCCTAATATTAACATAAGAACATAAGAACGAAGGAACACTGCAGAAGGCCTACTGGCCCATGCGAGGCAGGTCCAAGTCTCCTACCGGCTTAAGCCAATGCACCCAACCTAGTCAGGTCAGGTCACATTGACTTAAGGGAGGAACACGGCAACCGACCTGGTAGCTCAAGCTATCAGGTCCAACTCACACCCACCCACATCCACTCATGTATTTATCCAACCTATTTTTAAAGCTACACAACGTTCTGGCCTCTATAACTGTACTCGGGAGTTTGTTCCACTCATCCACAACTCTATTACCAAACCAGTACTTTCCTATATCCTTCCTGAATCTGAATTTTTCTAACTTAAAACCATTGCTGCGAGTCCTGTCTAGGCTAGATATTTTCAGCACACTATTTACATCCCCTTTATTTATTCCTGTCTTCCATTTATACACCTCAATCATATCCCCCTAATTCTACGTCTTTCTAGAGAGTGCAGTTTCAGGGCCTTAGTCTATCCTCATAGGGAAGGTTTCTGATACATGGGATCAACTTTGTCATCCTCCTTTGTACATTTTCCAGAGAATTTATATCCATTCTGTAATACGGTGACCAAAACTGTGCAGCATAGTCTAAATGAGGCCTAACCAAGGATGTATAGAGTTGAAGAACAACCTGAGGACTCCTATTATTTATGCTTCTTGATATGAAGCCAAGGATTCTATTAGCTTTATTGCGAACACTTACGCACTGTTGTCTTGGTTTCAGATTACTGCTAACCAGAACTCCTAAATCTTTTTCGCAATCCGTAATATTAAGATCTACATTATTTAGTTTATATGTGGCATGGTTATTGTCCTGTCCAACATTTAGAACTTTGCATTTGTCTATATTAAACTGCATCTGCCACTTCTCCGACCACTGCATCAGTCTATTCAAATCTTCCTGGAGTGCTCGAATGTCCTCGTCAGAATGAATTCGACGGCCTATTTTGGTGTCATCGACAAACTTGCCGATGTCGCTCTTTATGCCCTCATCTATGTCGTTTATGTAGATTGTGAACAGCAGGGGCCCAACACTGACCCCTGTGGAACACCGCTCGTGACGCTTCCCCACTCTGATTTCTCCCCATTTATGCAAACTCTCTGCTGCCTATTTGTCAACCATGCCTCTATCCAGGAAAAAATTTCTCCTCCTATTCCATGTGCTTTAATTTTCCTCAATAGTCTCTGATGTGGGACCCTGTCAAAAGCCTTACTGAAGTCCATATACACAATATCATATTCATTACCATGATCTAACTCCTCAAATACCTTTGTGAAAAAAGTTAATAAATTCGTAAGGCAGGAACGCCCCTTTGTAAAACCATGCTGAGATTCGTTGATTAATTTATGCTTTTCAAGGTGGCTACGAACTGCCTCAGCAATTATTGATTCCATAAATTTTCCCACTATGGAGGTTAGGCTTATTGGTCTATAGTTCGAAGCTAAGGACCTGTCACCTGTTTTGAAAATAGGTATCACATTTGCCATTTTCCACTTATCTGGCACCATGCCAGTTTGTAGTGATATGTTGAAAAGATTAGCCAAAGGTGTGCTAAGCTCCTCTTTACATTCCTTTAGAACCCTTGCATACAGTTCATCAGGGCCTGGGGATTTGTTAGGTTTTAATTTATCTATTTGCCTAAGGACCATGTCACTTGTGACCCTAATCGTGCACAGTTTATTATCGTCTTGTTCTACATAATTTATCATTACTGGAATATCGCTGGTATCCTCCTGTGTAAAAACTGAGAGGAAGTATGTGTTAAAAATTCTACACATTTCCTTATCACTGTCAGTGAGCTGACCCGAGGAACTTTTGAGTGGGCCTATCTTGTCCCTGATCTTACTTCTGTATACCTGAAAGAATCCTTTTGGGTTAGTCTTCGATTGTCTTGCAACTTTAACCTCATAATCTCTTTTTGCTTTTCTAATTCCCTTTTTTATTTCTCTTTAACTGAATATATCGATTTCTTAATTGCCCCTCTCCTCTTTTGATTTGCCTATATATGCCTCTCTTTTGACCAATCAGATATTTTAATCTATTGTTCATCCATTTAGGATCATTTTTGTTTGATCTGATTTCCCTATTTGGAACATAATTTGACTGAGCACCTAGAACTATGCCCTGGAAAGCATCATATCGGCAACCATCACCACTACCTGACCCTTAGTCAGGTCATTCCAGTTCAGCCCACCTAAGTAATTTTTCAGTCCTATGAAATCAGCCAAGCGAAAGTCAGGGACGGAGACTTGATTGACATTATTAGGGGAATTCCATGATATATTAAAACTGAGTGATTTGTGATCACTTTCCCCAAGCTCATCATTAACCTCAAGATTATTAATTAGTGTTTCCCTACTGGCAAGAACCAAGTCAAGGAGGTTATTTCCCCTAGTTGGCTCTGTCACAAACTGTTTTAAAAAACAATCCTGGATCGTATCAAGAAAGTCACCTGACTCTAAATTTCCTGTCAAATTGCTCCAGTCAATCTGTCTATAGTTGAAATCTCCCATTAGCACAACATTTTCGTATGTAGATGCCTTACGAATTTCATCCCATAGAAGTTTACTGCACTCCCTATCAAGATTTGGGGCCCTATAAATCACACCCAAAATTAGTTTTTCTCGGCCCTCGAGAAGCTGTAACCAAACAGATTCAGTGGCTGACGCTTCTAATTTAATATCTTGTCTAACACAACAATTTAAATTGTCTCTGACATACATCGCTACTCCACCACCTTTCCTGTTGACCCTGTCAGTGTGGAATAATTTATAGCCTTGTATGTGACATTCAGAGGGCATCTCTCTATCTTTCAGATTGAGCTAGGTCTCTGTTATAGCAATAATATCTATGTTTCCTGCACTTGCAATTAATCTTAGCTCATCTATCTTATTTCTTACACTCCTGCTATTAGTATAGTAAACCTTAAGGGAGCTAGTCCCTTGCTGCCCTCTGCTGTCCCCCTTTGTTTGCTGACCTGATCTATTGTCTTTATTTATAACTTCATGCTGAATGCCTTTTATACATTTACTGTTTCCAACCCTAGTGTTGCAACCTGCTTGTTTCCCATACACACCCATACCTCTATCTTCCATCAGTTTAAAATCATAGGCATTTCACCAATGGCCTTCTCAATCGAGTCTGGAAGTGCTACCACCCCAGCCCCAGAGAGATGTACCCCATCCCTTGCATACATATCATGTTTGCCATAAAAGTTGTTCCAGTTGTCAATGAATGGGATTGCAAGTTCCTAATGCTATACACAGATATACCAAAGTTATATTCTACATTCTCCTTCTGGATACTCTTCTTGGCTAACATATCAACTTTATCATGAAGGAGTAATCCAATGTGTGATGGGATCCATAGCAATTGTACATTAATTACTTTGTCCCTAATTTTTGAGTATCTATACCTGGCTTCTCCAATGAGCATGTTGTTTGAGTCATTATATGAGTCAAGAGCCTTCAGTGATGACATAGAGTTTATTTAGACATACGTATATATATATATATATATATATATATTATATATATATATATATATGTATATATATATATATATATATATATATATATATATATATATATATATATATATATATATATATATATATATATATATATATACATTTATATATATATATATATATATATATATATATATATATATATATATATATATATATATATATATATATATATATATATATACATTTATATATATATTATATATATATATATATATATATATATATATATATATATATATATATATATATATATATATATATATATATATATATACATATACATTTATATATATATATATACATTTATATTATATATATATATATATATATGTATATATATATATATATATATATATATATATATATATGCAATAAGATCACAGTGAACAGGTGATTTCAAAATATGCAAAACAACCACTTTGAAAGAATAGAGAAATTCCAAGCGCTTTCGTGACTACTCACATTATCAAGGAACTAACTATTATAGTTCCTTGATAATGTGAGTAGTCACGAAAGCGCTTGGAATTTCTCTATTCTTTCAGAGTGGTTGTTTTGCATATATATATATATATATATATATATATATATATATATATATATATATATATATATATATATATATATATATATATATATATATATTTATATTATTTATATATATATATATTTATATATTTATATATTTATATATATATATATTTATATATTTATATATATATATATATTTATATATTTATATATATATATATATATTTATAATTTATATATATATATATATATTTATAATTTATATATATATATATATATATTTATAATTTATATATATATATATATATTTATATATTTATATATATATTTATATATTATATATATATATATATTTATATATATACAGAAACCTGTAACTGTTTTGCATGATGGTAGGATTGCTGGTTTCTTTTTCTGTCTCATAAACACGCTAGATAACAGGGATATCTTGCTACTCCTACTTACACTTTGGTCACACGTCACAGACACGCACATGCATATATATATACATACATCTAGGTTTTTCTCCTTTTTCTAAATAGCTCTTGTTCTTCTTTATTTCTTCTATTGTCCATGGGGAAGTGGAAAAGAATCTTTCCTCCGTAAGCCATGCGTGTCGTATGAGGCGACTAAAATGCCGGGAGCAATGGGCTAGTAACCCCTTCTCCTGTAGATACTTACTAAAAAAGAGAAGAAGAAAAACTTTATAAAACTGGGATGCTTAAATGTGCGTGGATGTAGTGCGGATGACAAGAAACAGATGATTGCTGATGTTATGAATGAAAAGAAGTTGGATGTCCTGGCCCTAAGCGAAACAAAGCTGAAGGGGGTAGGAGAGTTTCAGTGGGGGGAAATAAATGGGATTAAATCTGGAGTATCTGAGAGAGTTAGAGCAAAGGAAGGGGTAGCAGTAATGTTAAATGATCAGTTATGGAAGGAGAAAAGAGAATATGAATGTGTAAATTCAAGAATTATGTGGATTAAAGTAAAGGTTGGATGCGAGAAGTGGGTCATAATAAGCGTGTATGCACCTGGAGAAGAGAGGAATGCAGAGGAGAGAGAGAGATTTTGGGAGATGTTAAGTGAATGTATAGGAGCCTTTGAACCAAGTGAGAGAGTAATTGTGGTAGGGGACCTGAATGCTAAAGTAGGAGAAACTTTTAGAGAGGGTGTGGTAGGTAAGTTTGGGGTGCCAGGTGTAAATGATAATGGGAGCCCTTTGATTGAACTTTGTATAGAAAGGGGTTTAGTTATAGGTAATACATATTTTAAGAAAAAGAGGATAAATAAGTATACAAGATATGATGTAGGGCGAAATGACAGTAGTTTGTTGGATTATGTATTGGTAGATAAAAGACTGTTGAGTAGACTTCAGGATGTACATGTTTATAGAGGGGCCACAGATATATCAGATCACTTTCTAGTTGTAGCTACATTGAGAGTAAAAGGTAGATGGAATACAAGGAGAATAGAAGCATCAGGGAAGAGAGAGGTGAAGGTTTATAAACTAAAAGAGGAGGCAGTTAGGGTAAGATATAAACAGCTATTGGAGGATAGATGGGCTAATGAGAGCATAGGCAATGGGGTCGAAGAGGTATGGGTAGGTTTAAAAATGTAGTGTTAGAGTGTTCAGCAGAAGTTTGTGGTTACAAGAAAGTGGGTGCGGGAGGGAAGAGGAGCGATTGGTGGAATGATGATGTAAAGAGAGTAGTAAGGGGAAAAAGTTAGCATATGAGAAGTTTTTACAAAGTAGAAGTGATGCAAGGAGGGAAGAGTATATGGAGAAAAAGAGAGAGGTTAAGAGAGTGGTGAAGCAATGTAAAAAGAGAGCAAATGAGAGAGTGGGTGAGTGTTATCAACAAATTTTGTTGAAAATAAGAAAAAGTTTTGGAGTGAGATTAACAAGTTAAGGAAGCCTAGAAAACAAATGGATTTGTCAGTTAAAAATAGGAGAGGAGAGTTATTAAATGGAGAGTTAGAGGTATTGGGAAGATGGAGGGAATATTTTGAGGAATTGTTAAATGTTGATGAAGATAGGGAAGCTGTGATTTCGTGTATAGGGCAAGGAGGAATAACATCTTGTAGGAGTGAGGAAGAGCCAGTTGTGAGTGTGGGGGAAGTTCGTGAGGCAGTAGGTAAAATGAAAGGGGGTAAGGCAGCCGGGATTGATGGGATAAAGATAGAAATGTTAAAAGCAGGTGGGGATATAGTTTTGGAGTGGTTGGTGCAATTATTTAATAAATGTATGGAAGAGGGTAAGGTACCTAGGGATTGGCAGAGAACATGCATAGTTCCTTTGTATAAAGGCAAAGGGGATAAAGAGAGTGCAAAAAATTATAGGGGGATAAGTCTGCTGAGTATACCTGGTAAAGTGTATGGTAGAGTATTATTGAAAGAATTAAGAGTAAGACGGAGAATAGGATAGCAGATGAACAAGGAGGCTTTAGGAAAGGTAGGGGGTGTGTGGACCAGGTGTTTACAGTGAAAACATATAAGTGAACAGTATTTAGATAAGGCTAAAGAGGTCTTTGTGGCATTTATGGATTTGGAAAAGGCGTATGACAGGGTGGATAGGGGGGCAATGTGCAGATGTTGCAAGTGTATGGTGTAGGAGGTAGGTTATGAAAGCAGTGAAGAGTTTTTACGAGGATAGTGAGGCTCAAGTTAGAGTATGTAGGAAAGAGGGAAATTATTTCCCAGTAAAAGTAGGCCTTAGACAAGGATGTGTGATGTCACCGTGGTTGTTTAATATATTTATAGATGGGGTTGTAAGAGAAGTAAATGCGAGGGTCTTGACAAGAGGCATGGAGTTAAAAGATAAAGAATCACACACAAAGTGGGAGTTGTCACAGCTGCTCTTTGCTGATGACACTGTGCTCTTGGGAGATTCTGAAGAGAAGTTGCAGAGATTGGTGGATGAATTTGGTATGGTGTGCAAAAAGAAAATTAAAGGTGAATACAGGAAAGAGTAAGGTTATGAGGATAACAAAAAGATTAGGTGATGAAAGATTGAATATCAGATTGGAGGGAGAGGTATGGAGGAGGTGAATGTATTTTGATATTTGGGAGTGGAGTGTCAGCGGATGGGTCTATGAAAGATGAGGTGAATCATAGAATTGATGAGGGAAAAAGAGTGAGTGGTGCACTTAGGAGTCTGTGGAGACAAAGAACTTTGTCCTTGGAGGCAAAGAGGGGAATGTATGAGAGTATAGTTTTACCAACACTCTTATATGGGTGTGAAGCATGGGTGATGAATGTTGCAGCGAGGAGAAGGCTGGAGGCAGTGGAGATGTCATGTCTGAGGGCAATGTGTGGTGTGAATATAATGCAGAGAATTCGTAGTTTGGAAGTTAGGAGGAGGTGCGGGATTACCAAAACTGTTGTCCAGAGGGCTGAGGAAGGGTTGTTGAGGTGGTTCGGACATGTAGAGAGAATGGAGCGAAACAGAATGACTTCAAGAGTGTATCAGTCTGTAGTGGAAGGAAGGCGGGGTAGGGGTCGGCCTAGGAAAGGTTGGAGAGAGTGGGTAAAGGAGGTTTTGTGTGCGAGGGGCTTGGACTTCCATCAGGTATGCATGAGCGTGTTTGATAGGAGTGAATGGAGACAATGGTTTTTAATACTTGACGTGCTGTTGGAGTGTGAGCAAAGTAACATTTATGAAGGGGTTCAGGGAAACCGGCAGGTCGGACTTGAGTCCTGGAGATGGGAAGTACAGTGCCTGCACTCTGAAGGAGGGGTGTTAATGTTGCAGTTTAAAAACTGTAGTGTAAAGCACCCTTCTGGCAAGACAGTGATGGAGTGAATGATGGTGAAGTTTTTCTTTTTTGGGCCACCCTGCCTTGGTGGGAATCGGCCAGTGTGATAAAAATATATATATATATTATATATATATATATATATATATATATATATATATATATATATATATATATATATTATATATATATATATACATATATATATATATATATATATATATTTATATATATATATATATATATATATATATATATATATATATATATATATATATATTATATTTTTATATATATATATATTTATATATACAGTGGACCCCCGGTTAACGATATTTTTTCACTCCAGAAGTATGTTCAGGTGCCAGTACTGACCGAATTTGTTCCCATAAGGAATATTGTGAAGTAGATTAGTCCATTTCAGACCCCCAAACATACACGTACAAACACACTTACATAAATACACTTACATAATTGGTCGCATTCGGAGGTGACGTTATGCGGGGGTCCACTGTATATATATATATATTTATATATATATATTATATATATATAATATATATATATATATATATATATATATATATATATTATTATATATATATATATTTATCAAAACTTTTAATATATGTAATGAATATATTGCTAGAGTTGACATCTGTACCTCTTCCCTGTTGATCTGTTTTATTGGATGTTTACTGTATCTGATATACTAAATATGCAGTAGCATTGCACAACGTGGACTTTCTAGAAAGATTTTTTTATACACCACACTATTTTGCTTAATGCTTCATAGCATACTGTAATTAATATTTATGTTTTATGTTCACCTAAGTGTTATGTATAATAAATTTGTTTTTCCGTTGTTGTACACATGATTCTGTTATGCTTTACTCTAAAAATTTCTAACCTAGCATGTATAATTATTAATATTATATTCATTGGCAGTGTATTGTTTGTTGCCAATATGTCTTGAGGAATGTTTACATAGTAAACAAGGGGATATTTGATTTCAGAATCTTGGAGTATACAATCCAGAAACAAAACATTATGAAAAGGTATGATATTGCTGTGATATGTATTTATTTGATTTTGACTTACTGAAACATTATTTTGTATGTATGTAATAGGCTCTGTGATAGGCTGTTAAATAATGCTGTTTTTTATGACTTAGTTTATTGAAAAAATATTTTTCATATCTTTATATAGTAAATTCTTTAAAAACTGATTTCATCTATGTTAATGTTAGTTATTTTTCTCTGTTAAACTTGGTAAATATTTCTGTGGTTGAGTCACCAGGATTCCTGTTTGGAATAAGCTATTCTTCATTCGCACAAATACAATGGAACCTCGGTTGTTGAATTTAATTTGTTCCAGATGTTGATTGGACAACCAAAATGGATGACTACCACAGCAATTTTTCCCATAAAGAATAATGTAAATAAAATTAATCCATTCTGGATCCCAAATGACAATATAATAATACATTAAAAATGTACTGACTGCTACATAAAACTAAAAATGAATACTCTTTAGTGATTTTAATGTGTACCTGCATGCCAGCACAGTGTGTAAGTTTATTTAGGTACAGGTACACATAAGTATAACTATCAGAGTATATAAAATATGAAATAACTTTAAAACACTTGAAATTTTGGAAAGTTTTTAGACATAATGGAGAGTCATGCTCGTGGAGAATGTAAACAAATCGGGTGGGGCATAGTGACTGTATTAGAAAGTCAGGTGGGGGGAGCCTGTATTAGAAAGTCAGGTGGGGGGAGCCTGTATTAGAAAGTCAGGTGGGGGGAGCCTGTATTAGAAAGTCAGGTGGGGGGAGCCGTATAGAGAGTTTTGGTCATAATTTGAAATGTCCGTATTAGTGGAACACCATAAAGCGGGGTCTTACTGTATGTATTTATGATGGGCTGGGATAGGTTAAGGAGATAAGGTGTTTTTTAAAAATGTTAGCTGAACCAGTGGTTCTGGAGATTTCTGGCAGAGAGTTTCAGATTTTGGGCCCTTTTATGTACAGTGAATTTTTGAAAAAATTTAGCCTGACACGGGCTAGTGTGAATGTGAATATGATATATTCTAGGTGGGCACCTCAGGTCCCCTCATGATAATGTTAATTTGTGAACCTTACAAATAATGTAGATAAATGTATTAGTACAATAGTAGACAGAAGAAAGCCACTAATTATACAGTTCATTTTGGGCAACTAATCACAAGGTTTAAATGGTACATAAGAATTAGACATAGCCTATTAAGAAGGACTTCTTGTGTAGTTTACAGTCATAAGTACAACATGAAAGGTAGTTAGTGACAAATGGCCAATTACAAAAGAGTTACATAATATTTAAACTGGTTCAGTGATCTTCAGTTTTATGAAGCTATTGAACAGAGATAGTGAAAATACAGCAAGTTACTTACCTTACAATATAAATATAATGGGACAAATATGTTACCAGTCATGTATGGGAGTTTAACCCTTTCAGGGTCCAGAGGCCAAATTTCAAAGTGTGCACCAGTGTCCAAGAATTTTCAAAAAATAATTATTATTTTTTCTTATGAAATGGTAGAGAATCTTTTTCTGAAGGTAATAAAACAAAAAGTATGAAATTTGGTGGAAAACTGACGAAATTATGCTCTCGCGAATTTTGATGTGTCAGCGATATTTACGCATCGGTGATTTTGCCGACTTTGACTCCCATTTTAGGCCAATTACATTATTCCAGTTGACCAAATTCTCAGTTATTTCAGTAGTATTACTTCTATTCTATCGACTGAGCACAAGAAATCGCCAAATTCAACTACAAAATAATGTGATCGGAAATTGGTAATTTGGCCAATTTAGTGCAAAGCTCAAAATATTCCAATTTCAAAATAGGGTCCAGAATAAACAATGCAGGCATTCCTGGCACTAAACTAACATTTCCTCTGTTCATTAGTTACGTTTTCAGCCTTTACAAATGAATTCCATTCTGATTTTTTATTCACATAATAAATTTTTATTCAAACCAAAAAATAGAAGATTTACTGTTATGCAATATTGTAATAATTGTATAAATAATATCATCACATTTGTGAACGTATATTAGACCCACCAGCCAGCGTGTATTAGACGTGTGAGGTCATTTGTTTACTCTTGAACATCGACAAAAATTTAACATTTTCACTACTTTGAGCTCAATTTCAAGCTATTTCCAATACTAAAACCAATCAAAATCATCTCTATTTCTGTAATATATCTTCCATTCTATCAAATGAGACCTAGAAATCGCAAATACAACCATAAAAAACATGCAAAAAAGCACTGCAAAGTCGCTGTTTTAATCGAAAATTATGGTCTAAGTTTTTTTTCTCTCATTTTGCACTCTGTGCTGCAGGTTTTGTTTTATGTGGTGCACACATACCACATAAATGTATTCTCTCATATCCAGGCCCAAATTTACTTCTCACAGCTTATCAGAGCGAGCTGAGCTCATAGTGTAGATCTATGGTTTGGACCCTCAGCGTAAAGCCGTAGATCTACAGCATGGATCCTGAAAGGGTTAAGGAAGCATGAAAGAAGAACAGGGACAGAACTGGATGAAAAACAGGTTCTGTTTCACACAGTGTGTTGCTGCCTTGATTACATTAACCCTTTGACTGTCGCAGGCCCCTTTCTGAAACTGTCATTCTATGTCGATAAGTTTTTGGAAAAAAAAAAAATTATTTTTTTCTCATGAAATGATAGAGAATCTTTTCCTGATGGTAATGACACCAAAAGTTTGAAATTTGGTTGAAAACTCACGGAATTACGCTCCCGCGAAGTTAGCGGTCTCGGCGACATTTGCGTATCGGCGGTTTCGCCGACTTTGAGCCCTGTTTTCAGCCAGTTCCGTTGTTCCAGTTGACCAGACTCATAGCTATATTTCTTTAGAACTCCATTTTATCTATCAGCTGAGTACAAGAAACCGCCCATTTACCAAATTGAACTACCCAATATAGTGGTCAGAAATTGGCAATTTGGCCAATTTCACGCAAACTAAAAAAGATGCCAATTTCAAAATAGGGTCCAGAATAAACAAGGTAGACATTCTTGGCACTAAAATAACATATCCTCTGTTCATTAGTCACATCTCTAGGCCCCTCTTATATTATTATTGCTTTCTATTTTGATTTTTTATTCATACAAAAAAATACAAAATTTACTGTTATGCAGACTACTGCATTATTGTAAAAATGGTATAAATAATATCAGTGCACTAGTGAAAGAATATTAGACTCCCCAGTTGATGTGTATTGGACGTGTGGTGTGATTTGTTTACTCCTGAACATTGGTAAAAATCGAACATTTCCACTATTTTGAGCTCAGTTTCAAGGTCGTTTTCATCGTCAAAGTAATGAAAATCATCTCTATTTCTGTAATATGTTTTCCATGTTATCACCTAATACCATGAAAACGCGAATACAACGGTAAATACTATATGAAAAAACACCTCAAAATCGGCATTTTAATCCAAAAAAACGATCAGTTTTTTTTCTCATTACGCACTGTGTGCTGCAGGACTTTTTTTATGTGGTGCACACTGACCACACAGACCCTTTCTCTCACATGTGGGCCTACCAGCTTTCTCCCGCTTGATTTAAAGCCGTTAGAATTATTGAGTATACAGTGGACCCCCGGTTAACGATATTTTTTCACTCCATAAGTATGTTCAGGTGCCAGTACTGACCGAATTTATTCCCATAAGGAATATTGTGAAGTAGATTATTCCTTTCAGACCCCCAAACATACACGTACAAACGCACTTACATAAATACACTTACATAATTGGTCGCATTTGGAGGTAATCGTTATGCGGGGGTCCACTGTATATACGTCAGAAACAGTGACGCGTAAGACGTATTTATACGGCGTAAACAGTCAAAGGGTTAAGGAGATGAGGTGCATTTTAACAGTAGCTCTGAATTAATTGGTAGATAGAAACTTCATGCAGGGAGTTCCAGATTTTGGGGCCTTTTATGTTCATCGAGTCAGACACAGGGGATGTCAAAGACGTTTGTGCATCTTATGTTATGCCTGTACGTTATGCTGCAGCTGTTAACCCTTAAACTGTCCAAATGTATATATACGTTCACTCACGTAGCGCCCCAAATTTTTTGAGAGAAAAAAAAAACTTTTTTTTAAAAGAAAAAAAGAGCATATGGTACCCAGGCATCCCCAATTATTTTAATATGGCACACAGTGAGTGCACACACCCATTCACTCATGTCTAGGTGACTCAGGCTTATTGTGGCAATGTTGAATGAATGACAAAGAAAACGTATATATACGTTTGGGGTGCTACGCACGTGAACGTATATATACGTTTGGACCGTTTAAGGGTTAAGGAAGAATTTGAGAGATGGGTTTATGTATTTTGGAACTGATTGTCCTATGTACAGCCTCTCCTCACTTAGCAACATACTCATTTACCGACGCCTCGGACTTACGACGGGCTCTCTGACCAGTATTTATACCTAAATAATGTATATTTGAGCTGATTTCCTCTATTCTGTTTATTTCAGTATACAATACATTACTGTATAATCATTTAAAAATATACCAGAGGTGTTATAAATGGTGCAAAGGTGACAGTAAAGCAATGTCAAAGATGGTTGACACAAACTCACTACCATTATAGTATGCTCCTCATTTAGCGATGAATTTGTTTGACGTTGTGTTCTTAGGAACGGAACTCTGTCATTAAGTGAGGAGAGGCACAGTACAGAATTTGCCCTATTTACAAGCAGGTTCGGTTCTGAGTGGTTGTTCGTAAGTCCAACATGCGTATGTATACAGTATACGTGAACACAGGAAAAATACATACTGTACTCTAGCAAACAAAACTTATGTTATGAATAAAATAAAGTTTATAATGTTTATAATAAATAATATAATTTAATAAAACAGACGGTGAGAGGGTGTTGGCCTGAATGTCATAGCAATTGAAGTCGATGACACTGATTCAGGCTCCTGGCAAGACTACAATGGTGATGCACTACCACTTGCATCACCATTGCTTTTGTGCTTAACATCAGACATGTTGAGGGTATAATAATCACAAATGACACTGAATTTGTGGAAAGAACACAACCACACGTATGAACGATTCCTCTCTAGAGTAATCAACTATGTATTGTTTACATCTCAGCAGTTCCTACGCTATATTGCCGCCACCACACGGCAGACTGCGAACTAAATCTTTCTCCCACATGTTCAACTTCAGGGCAAATTGTTTGTATTATTGAAAGTTGAAATGCAAATGTTCGTATGTAGGGGAGTCTCTGTAGTATGATTGCATTTTGTCTATATTAAGTAAATTTAAGCTTTAAAAGAGTGGGGGAGTATGTTGTCTGGCACTGGATCGGGTAATCATTTGCACAGTTTTTTGCTGAGTTATTAATGGTTTTAGATGATTTGATGTACATGTAGATCCTAAGGATAGTTTAGAGAGTAGTGCAGTGTAAGTAGTGTTGTTTGAGATACATAGTAATGTATCTTGGAGAGGATGCCTACTGTTTTGCAGACCACCTTAGTTATGTGCTGGAAATGGGTATTAAACTTCAAGTTGCAGTCAAGGTGTAGACCTACAATTTTTTCCCCTCAGTTTGTCTTATAATAATGCAATACATTACAATTTTTATTTATTTATGTGGGACAGATAATGTAGTTTACATGTAATAAGACACAGGTAGGCACAAAAGAAAGCAACTAGTATGCAGTGCATTTTGGCCAAACTAATACTAATGCTTAAATGTTACTTCATGATTAAAGATTCTTTATTTCAGTATGATACAATGTTTATACAGAGGTGAGTAACATTTAGGTGTGCATGCAGAAGGCCCCTTAACCCTTTGACTGTCGCGGCCGTATATATACGTTTGCGAGGTACCGTGTTTGACGTATATATACTCATAAATTCTAGCGGCTTCAAATCAGGCAGGAGAAAGCTAGTAGGCCCACATGTGAGAGAATGGGTCTGTGTGGTCAGTGTGCACCACATAAAAAAAATCCTGGAGCACGCAGTGCATAATGAGAAAAAAAAAACTCCGACCGTTTTTTTTAATTAAAATGCCGACTTTGTGGTCTATTTTCGTATAGTATTTGTGGTTGTATTCTCGTTTTCTTGGTCTCAATTGATAGAATGGAAACTATATTATAGAAATGGAGGTGATTTTGATTAATTTTACTATAAAAAGAACCTGGAAATGGAGCACAAAGTACAGGAAATGTTTGATTTTTGCCGATGTTCAAAAGTGAACAAATGATGTCATTTTCCAATAAATGTCCAAATAGCCATTCTAATACGCAGTCATGAATGGGTTGATGTAATTTTTACAATTATTACAGTATTGCAGTAGTCTGCATAACAGTAAATCTTCTATTTTTTGTTTGAATAAAATTTCAAAATAAAAAGCAAGAGTAATATCACAGGGACCTGGAGACATGACTGATGAACAAAGAAAATGTTATTTTAGAGCCAGGAATGTCTGCATTGTTCATTCTGGACCTTATTTTGAAATTGTCGTATTTTTTAATTTTCGTGAAATTGGCCAAATTGCAAATTTCTGACCATGTTATTGGGTAGTTGAAATCGGTAAATGGGCAGTTTCTTGTACTCAATCGATAGAAAAAATAGAGTTCTGAAGAAATAGTTATGAGTTTGGTTGACTGGAATAACGGAATTAGCCGAAAATAGGGCTCAAAGTGGGCGAAATTGCTGATTTTTAAATATCGCCGAAGTCGCTAACTTCGCGAGAGCGTAATTCCTTCAGTTTTCCATCAAATTTCGTTTTTTTGGTGTCTTTACAATCGGGAAAAGATTCTCTATCATTTCATAAGAAAAAATAATTTTTTTTTTTTTTCGAATATTTTGCGACACCAGAAGCAACTTCAGGATTTGGCCCTTCGACAGTCAAAGGGTTAATATGCAGAGCATTTTGGGCAAACTTAAGACTAACCTAAGATTAAGAGCATATTTTGAACACATTCGGTGTATTTAATTGTTGTGAGGATTACAGATAATGAGAATAAGAATATATTGTTAGACATAGACTATTAAGTAGAATTTCTTATGCAGTTAACTACAGTCATATGTGCAATAAGAAAGGTAGGTAATGAACAAATGGTACAATTTCAGAAATATGACTTATTATTTCAAACTGGTTCCATGACCTTCAATTTTGTAGAGGGATTAAACAGAGATGGTGAAGATACAAGAAGTTACTTAGTTACAATGGAAATACAGTGGGACACAATGTGTTACCCATTTTCTGTGGAAGTTGAAGGAAGGCTGGAAGAACAGGGCCAGAATCAAATGAACTGGTTTTGTTAGACATAGCATATTGTTGTTTCATTATGTTAGAGAGGTTGAGGTGATTTTTAACAATGGCTCTGAATGGATTGGCAGATAGGGGGGCCTTGCAGTGCTGAAAGAAAGTAATGGCAGATGTGTGTAGAAGAGTGATGAACTAAGAAAACTGATGAAATTTTATATTTAAAGTTTACACTTTAAATAACACTCAAAATTAAAAACTGAAGTTAAGGTTAGTGTGTAATGAATATTTAGAAGGGAGCATAAGTGAGCAATAAGTACGCCTTACGTATTCTCTATGGTTTTCTCTATATTTACTCCCCTCAAGGGAGGTTTCTTGATACTGGTGAGAGGCTCTTGATCTAGGGAATTGGATCTGTGTTCCAGTTCCCAGAATTAAGCCTGAATACCTTCCGTCCCCCCCCCCGGCGCTGTATAATCCTACAGGTTTAGCGCTCCCCCATGATTATAATAATAATAATAATAATCTATGCGTTTACACTGCCATTGATTTAGATTAGGATTTTGTTTGTTATAGAAAGCTCCTGAACCTGACATGTTTGAAATTATCGTAGTGAAGTGTTATGCAAAATTTTAAGTCCGATATTCTGGACCCATGTGTCTTCCCTCCCCTCCACCCTCTGTCTTTGCCTTCCCTCCCCTCCACCCTCTGTCTTTGTCTTCCCTCCCCTCCACCCTCTGTCTTTGTCTTCCCTCCCTCCACCCTCTGTCTTTGTCTTCCCACCCCTCCACCCTCTGTCTTTGTCTTCCCTCCCCTCCACCCTCTGTCTTTGTCTTCCCACCCCTCCACCCTCTGTCTTTGTCTTCCCTCCCCTCCACCCTCTGTCTTTGTCTTCCCACCCCTCCACCCTCTGTCTTTGTCTTCCCTCCCCTCCACCCTCTGTCTTTGTCTTCCCTCCCCTCCACCCTCTGTCTTTGTCTTCCCTCCCCTCCACCCTCTGTCTTTGTCTTCCCACCCCTCCACCCTCTGTCTTTGTCTTCCCTCCCCTCCACCCTCTGTCTTTGTCTTCCCACCCCTCCACCCTCTGTCTTTGTCTTCCCTCCCCTCTACCCTCTGTCTTTGTCTTCCCACCCCTCCACCCTCTGTCTTTGTCTTCCCTCCCCTCCACCCTCTGTCTTTGTCTTCCCACCCCTCCACCCTCTGTCTTTGTCTTCCCTCCCCTCCACCCTCTGTCTTTGTCTTCCCTCTCCTCCACCCTCTGTCTTTGTCTTCCCTCCCCTCCACCCTCTGTCTTTGTCTTCCCTCCCCTCCACCCTCTGTCTTTGTCTTCCCTCCCCTTCACCCTCTGTCTTTGTCTTCCCTCCCCTCCACCCTCTGTCTTTGTCTTCCCTCCCCTCCACCCTCTGTCTTTGTCTTCCCTCCCCTTCACCCTCTGTCTTTGTCTTCCCTCCCCTCCACCCTCTGTCTTCGTGTCACTTGAGAGAGATTCGTTCTGTTCATACATAAACTAGTTGTAATTATAACTCTAAATGTCTTTTTCAGGAAAATCTAGGGCAAGATGGACATGATCTCCAGCCTCATGGGCAGGTAAGGACTTGGTATGATTGACATTAATTAAGATGGAATTCTCTTCACCTCATCATTAATATCATTTGAGTAAGTTTGTTGATTTGTTTGTTTTTGTATCCTACAAGCAGGGCTTTGGAGTTGGCACATAAAACCTTCAATTCCGACTCCATGATTCTGATTCTGGCTTCACGACTCTGACTCCATGAGGAGATGAGGTGCTTTTTAACAATAGCTCTAAATTAATTGGCAGACAGGGGACCTTTCAATGATTCAGGCAATGCATTCTGGATCTTAGGGCCTTTTATGTATATTGAGTTTTTTGCATAGGGTGAGTCGAACACAAGGGATGTCAGAGAGTTTATGGTCTTGTGTTATGCCTGTGTGTTCTGTTGCAACTATCAAGGGAAAGTTTCAGAAGAAGGTTTATGTTGCAGTTTAATGTTTTACAAATGTAATAGGCACAGTAATATGAGTGAATATTTTGTATATTAAGTTTCAACTCTTGAAGAGTATAGGTGTGTGTTGTCTGGCACTGGAATGGATGATGATCTGCACAGCAATTTTTTGTTGGGTTATTAATGGTTTAAGGTGATTTGTTGTAGTAGATCCCCAGGCATAAATACCAGTGGTATAGTGTAGTTATTGTCATTTGGGGTGCATAGTAATGTATCTTGGGGAGGATGGCTACTGTTTTGGAGACCTTCTTTGCTATGTGTTGGATAAGGGTATTAAATTTCAAGTTGCAGTCCAGATGTAGACCTAAAAATTTGACTTCATTGTGTCTTGCAATTTGAGAACTATTGATCAATATGTAAAGTTGGATAGTTGAAGCTCTGTTTCCAAATAGCATGTACATGTATTATGCTTTGTCTGTACAGTAGGGCCCTGCTTTACGGCATTTCGCTAATACAGTGGACCCCCGAGTTTCGTCGGCATCGACTTTCATGAAATCCGACCTCACGGTTTGTGACTGAACTCATGATTCAGCGACCATCTGGTACCCGTCCGCCCGTCGCTGCGCACACAAAGCCAGTCTCCCGCACCATTCACACTCAGTGTGCCATTGTTTACCAGCACGTGACCATCACCCTGCAGGTTCATACAATACATTTCATAATAATCCATTGTTTTTTGTGCTTGCAACTGCTAAATAAGTCACCATGGGCACAAGGAAAGCTAGTGCAGGCCCTTTGATAAAGAAAGCGAGGAACACTATCGAATTCAAGAAGGAAATCGTTGAAAAATATGAGAGCGGAGTGCATGTTACAGAACTTGCCAGGATGTATGGCAAACCCCATTCAACCATCACTTCGATTGTGGCGAAGGGAAAGGAAATAAAGTGTGCTGTTGTTGCAAAAGGGGTAGATACGCTGATAAAAAAGAGATCGCAAATCCTCGAAGAAGTGGAAAGGTTATTGTTGGTGTGGATTACCCAAAAACAGTTAGCAGGAGATAGTATTATGCAGTCGATAACATGTGAAAAGGCAAGATAGTTGCATGACGATCTCGTAAAGAAAATGCCTGCAACGAGTGGTGATGCTTGTGATTTTAAGGCCAGCAAAGGTTGGTTTGAGAGATTTAAGAAGCATAGTGGCATTCACAGTGTGATAAGGCATGGTGAGCCTGCCAGTTCTGACAAAAAAAAAACAGCTGAGGAGTTTGTACAGGAGTTTAAGGAGTGCGTACACACTGGAGAATTCAAACCCCAACAAGTGTTTAATTGTGATGAAACAGGCCTCTTTTGGAAGAAAATGGCAAAGAGGACCTACATCACGCAGGAGGAAACGGCACTCCCAGGACACAAGCCTATGAAGGATAGGCTTACTCTCATGTTTTGTAGTAATGCTAGTGGGGATTGCAAAGTGAAGCCTTTACTGGTGTATCTCTCTGAAAATCCCAGTGTGTTCAAGAAAAACAGTGTTGCCAAGAGTAATTTGTGTGTGATGTGGAAGGCTAACAATAAGGCATGGGTCACAAGGGAAATTTTCCTAGACTGGTTTAATGAAGTGTTTGGCCCCAGTGTGAAGAGATACTTCCTGGAAAATAAATTGCCACTCAAGTGCCTCCTGGTAATGGACAATGCTCCTGCTCATCCTCCAGACTTGGAAGAGTAAATAGTGGGGGAATTTAGTTTCATCACGGTGAAGTTCTTGCCCCCTAATACAACTCCTCTCATCCAACCCATGGACCAGCAGGTCATTTCAAACTTCAAAAAACTGTACACCAAAGCAGTGTTTCAAAAGTGCTTTGAAGTGACCTCAGACACTGAATTGACCCTAAGAGAGTTCTGGAAAGATCACTTCAATATCCTCACTTACATAAACCTTATAGGTAAGGCTTGGGAAGGAGTGACTTGCAGAACTTCGAATTCTGCTTGGAGAAAAGTGTGGCCAGAATGTGTACAAGAGAGGGATTTTGAAGGGTTTGGGGCTGACCCTAAGGAGCCTATGCCAGTTGTGGAATCTATTGTGGCATTGGGGAAGTCCCTGGGGTGGGGGGTGAGTGGCGAGGATGTGGAAGAGTTGGTGGAGGACTACAGGGAAGAGCTAACCACTGAAGAACTGCAAGAGCTTCATCTGCAACAGCAAGAGATCACAGCTCAGGAAATTGCTGCAGAGGAGGAAGAGAGATGGAGGAAGGTGCCTTCTTCAAAGATTAAGGATATTTGTGCAAAGTGGACTGAAGTGCAAACATTTATGGATGAACTTCACCCTAACAAAGCTGTTGCAGGCCGAATTGGCAACATGTACAATGACAGTGTTGTGTCCCACTTCAGACAAATCTTAAAGAAATGCCAGAAACAGAGGTCTCTGGACAGATATTTTGTGCGACAGGGGTCCAGTGACTCTCAAGTTGTTCCCAGTGTCTTTAAAAAACAAAGAAGGGAAGTAACCCCAGATAAGGACTTCGCACCTTAAGTCCTAATGGAAGGAGATTCTCCTTCCAAACAATAGTGTACACCTTCCCCCTATTCCCTCCTCCCGTCTTCCATCCACCCAGAAGTCTTCAGTAAAGGTAAGTGTAATGTTGTTATTTTTTTTATATGTATGTACTTGATTTCTCATTGTTTTCAGTATGTAAATCTTTATTTAATTTGAAAAAAAAAATTTTTATTTTAATATTTTTGGGTGTCTGGAACGGATTAATTTTATTTCCATTATTTCTTATGGGGAAAATGGTTTTGCCATTCGGCAATTTCGACATTCAGCAGACTCTCAGAACGGATTAATCACGAAACTCAGGGGTCCACTGTATGGACATTTCAAATTATGACCAAAACTTGCTATACGGCACCCCCCACCTGACTCTAATACAGTCGCTGTGCACCACTTGGTTTGTTTACATTCTCTGTGAGCTCCACATCTCTCCATTATGTCTGGAAACTTTCCAGAATTTCAAGTGTTTTAAAGTTATTTCATATTTATATGTACTCTGATAATTATACTTATGTGTCCTGTACCTAAATAAACTTATACACTGATCAGGTGTGCTGGTACTCATTAAAATCACTTAAGAGTGTCTCTCTAGTCTTGACTGATTTTATGTTAATGTAGACATTTTCATTAATCTATCCATGATATTTTCTTCAAAATTATATCAGAAACACATTACATAGCATATAAACATGATACATACACCCACAGTAGAAAAGTTTTCACATAAATGTGAGATGTGGTAGTCGGGCAGAGGGAAAAAATTCTGTTTTCTCTTGTCCAGCACCAAAGAAAATGTGTATCAACAAACGTTTGACTCAGTGACTCCCCTTACGCATTCAGATTTGTTTACAATTCCTGCCACGACTTGTTCTCATCACTTCTCCCTTCGTTTATGATGGCATCTAAGGGTAGTTATTAGAAATGAGTAAACTCAGTGAACAAGGTATGTCAATGGTAATAATAATAATAATAATAATACTGCTCCGTGTGGGTATGGTAGCCAGGTGGGCTACCATACCTACCACACCTGACTTTCAGCAATATATACTTGCCCTATATTAAGACTACAAACATTTTAAGGTAAGTAATGAATGTACTCTGTATGTATTTTACTTTTTGTTGTTTTTAATGCCTAGTTCTACTGTTAGCTTAATATATGTTAGTGTAAACTTATCTGGCATTTGTATGCATTTATAAGTGGAAAGAGTGGCGTTCTGCTTTCCAGCAATGTCGGCTTTCTGGCGGTAGCCTGGAACCTAACATGCTGTATAAGTGGTGCCTTACTGTATTAATCTTTTTACTGTCCAGATCCTTGATCTGAAACTTATCCATACTGACCAAGAATTTTCAAAAAATGATTTATTTTTTATGAAACGTTTGTGAATCTTTGTCTAAAGGTACTAAAGCAAAAAGCATGAAATTTGATGGAAAGTTGACAAAATTAATCTTTCGCGAATTCTGCTGTGTCGGTGATATTACACAGCGCATTGGCGATTTTATCCACTTTGAGTTCTATTTTAGGCCAATTATATTGCTCCATTTGACTAAATACTTAGCTATTTTGCTATTATATCTTCCATTTTATCAATTGAGCACAAGAAATCGCCCAGTCAGCTATTTTACCTACCCAGTAAAGTGATCAGAAATTGGTAATTTGGCCAATTTCACACATACTTTAAAATATTCCAGTTTCAAAATAGGGTCCAGAATAAACAATGCAGGCATTCCTGGCACTAAAATAACATTTCCTCTGTTCATTAGTTATGTTTCCAGGCTTTACACATGAATTCCATTTTGATTTTTATTCACATAAAGAATTTTTATTCACGCAAACAATAGAAGATTTACTATTATGAAATACAGTGGAACCTCTACTTACGAGTTTAATCCATTCCATGACCTTGCTCGCAATTGGATTTGCTCGTTTGCAGAGTCAATTTTCCTCATTTAAATTAATGAAATGCAATTAATTCGTTCCAGTGGAACTCTGTATACTTCAATAATTTTGCTAATATCGACTCTTCAGCTTATTTAGCTATCTCACTTCATCTAATATGACATAATAAACAATATAAACAATATAGAAGCCTGATATATACTCTAAAATGAATAAAATATGCAATTCATGTAGTGGTATGGGCGGTGTCGGAGTGGACGAGAGTTTGTCTGGAGACAGGACAAAATACTTCTTGAATAATTTCGCTAATATCATCTGTACGGCTTATTTATCCTTCACAGTTCATCTGATATGAAATAACAAACAATATAAATAACATAGAAACCTGATACATACTCTAGAATGAATAAAATATGTCATTATGTAACAGGTGGAGGCGGCTACAACCACTCCCTCTTTGTTGTGGTAAACACTGCCATCTAGTGACAGCCTTTTGAAGCCGTCTGTTATTATTATTATTATTATTATTATTATTATTATTATTATTATTATTATTATTATTATTATTATTATTATTATTATTATTATTATGTAGTACATTATTATTATATATATATATATTATTATTATTATTTTTTTTTTTAACAAGTCGGCCGTCTCCCACTGAAGCAGGGTGACCCAAAAAAGAAAAAATCCCCAAAAAGAAAATACTTTCATCATCATTCAACACTTTCACCTCACTCACACATAATCACTGTTTTTGCAGAGGTGCTCAGAACAGAGCAGTTTAGAAGCATATACGTATAAAGATACACAACATATCCCTCCAAACTGCTAATATCCCGAACCACTCCTTTAGAGTGCAGGCATTGTACTTCCCATTTCCAGGACTCAAGTCCGGCTATATAAAAATAACCGGTTTCCCTGAATCCCTTCACTAAATATTATTACAGTATTATTATTATTATTATTATTATTGTATTATATTATACTATTATTATTATACATATTATTATTATTATTATTATTATTATTATTATTATTATTATTTTGTATTATTATTATTACAATATAAATAACTTATAATTTTTATTCACACAAAAAATATAAGATTTACTGTTGTGCCTTATTGCAATAATTGTATAAATAATGTAAACCCATTCACGACTGCATATTGGAATGGACAGTGACGTCACTTCTTTACTCTTGAACATAGCCAAAACAGTCAAACATTTTTCCTATGCTGAGCTCAATTTCAAGGTACTTTTCGTAGTGAAAGCAATCAAAATCATATCTATTTCTCTAATATATCTTCCATTCTATCAAATGAGACCAAAAAACTGAGAATACAACCATAAAAACCATACAAAAATACCACTAAGGGGTGGCTAATTGCTGAGAAATGAACTCCATTATTTATGCTTAGATTTCTTTCATTTTTGGTGTACATTAACCCTTAAACTGTCCAAGCAGATCTACGTTCACATTCGTAGTGCTCCAAAAGTAGATCTATGTTTTTTTTTTTAAATATTTTCAAATAGTATAACAAAAAAAAAATAGATCAAAGTTTTTTTTACACTTTTTCAAATGTAAAAAAAGAAAAGAAGATCTACTTTTTTTACATACTTTCAAATGTTGAAAAAACGTAGATCTGCGTTTGAACAGTTTAACCTGTAAACGGTCCAAATGTATATATACGTTTTTTTAACATTTGATAGTATGTAAAAAAAGTAGATCTTTTTTTTTTTTACATTTGAAAGCGTGCAAAAATACTTTGATCTACGTTTTTTTTTTTTTTTGAAAATATTTAAAAAAACGTAGATCTACTTTTGGAGCACTACGCATGTGAACGTAGATCTGCTTGGACCGTTTACAGGTTAAGGGTTAAGAAGCATCTTTCCATCATACATTGCCCAAGCTTCAATAAGATAGCCCAACAAACAAATGAAATACAATTCCCTAGATCAAGAGGAAGAGCCCCTCACCAGCATCAAGGAACCTGCCTTGAGGTCTGCTTGCTTATGGGAATTTTGCTCATGTATGGAAGTAAAAAATTGATCCATCGACTGCTCGTATTTGGAAAAATTCGCACGTGGATGCGCTCGCAAGTAGAGGTTTCACTGTATTGTAATAATTGTATAAATAAGATCAGCACATTCATGAATGCACATTAGACCCACCAGTTGGATGTGCATCAGATGAGTGGCGTGATTTGTTTACTCTTGAATATCGGCAAAAATTTGAATATGTATTTCCACTAATTTATGCTCAATTTCAAGCTGTTTTCAGTCTTGAAAGTAATTAAAATTATCTGTTTCTGTAATCTATCTTCCATTATATCAAATGAGACCAAGAAACTGAGAATACAACTATAAAAATCATACAGAAATACACCGCAAACTCACTGTTTTAAACCAAAAAAAAAAAAAAAAAGGTTCCAGTTTTTTCTCATGCACTGCATACTGCAGGATTTTGTTTATATGGTGCACACTTACCACATACTCATTCTCTCATATCTAAGTCCAAATTTGCCACTCACAACTTATGTGAGTGAGCTGAGCTCATGGTGTAGTACCATAGCACACCCAGTGACCTCAAAGCCATAGTACTATAGCACAGCCAGTGACCTCAAAGCCATAGTACCATAGCACACCCAATGACCTCAAAGCCAGAGTACTATGGCACAGCCAGTGACCTCAAAGCCATAGTACTATAGCACAGCCAATGACCTCAAAGCCATAGTAGTACTATGGCACAGCCAGTGAAATGGTTAAGGGTGAGTTTTTCAGTGGTTGTCCAGGTAGCTATTTTTAGTAGCTCGTCATTAACAGTGTCAATAAGAGCAGTTGGATTTGAGTGGGAGAACACAGAAGTCTTGTCATCTGTGAACCGAACAGGTTTAAGGAGATGAGATACGTTGGAGAGATCGTTGATGTAAGTGAGAAAGAGCAAAGGGTGTTATGAGAAAAATTATTTATTTTATTATCACACTGGCCGATTCCCACCAAGGCAGGGTGGCCCGAAAAAGAAAAATTTTCACCATCATTCACTCCATCACTGTCTTGCCAGAAGGGTGCTTTACACTACAGTGTTTAAACTGCAACATTAACACCCCTCCTTCAGAGTGCAGGCACTGTACTTCCCATCTCCAGGACTCAAGTCCGGCCTGCCGGTTTCCCTGAACTCCTTCATAAATGTTACTTTGCTTACACTCCAACAGCACGTCAAGTATTAAAAACCATTTGTCTCCATTCACTCCTATCAAACACGCTCACGCATGCCTGCTGGAAGTCCAAGCCCCTCGCACACAAAACCTCCTTTACCCCCTCCCTCCAACCTTTCCTAGGCCGACCCCTACCCCGCCTTCCTTCCACTACAGACTGATACACTCTTGAAGTCACTCTGTTTCTCTCCATTCTCTCTACATGTCCGAACCACCTCAACAACAAATGGGAAGGAAAAAGGAGAAATAAAATTCAAGTAACCACTTAAATGTTTCTTTCAGGAATACTTCACTTCATTAATCAATATTTTTTGTTGTCTATTGAGCTATTGTATAATTTGTTTTCATTCATGAATACACTGCTTACCCATCCATTGGCCTTATTGGATTATCCTAGGTTAAAAATACATAGTGTTCTTTTGGCTGAATTCCACTGTTAGTATCATGAAATTGTAATAAATTTGGAATGAATAAGCATCTTGGCAGTTTCCACACCCTGTTTGCATGTATGGAAGCTGGTGGTGGAACAACAGCTCCTGATTTCATTGTTTACTGTTGCTAGTTAGGCAGTGGTAACCATCTCTAGCCTTCGATTTTTTCAAAGGCAGATAGAAGTTGTAGGAGACCCAAAAATATTGGCAGGTGGCATTGTTGAAAGCACAAAAATTTGTGCGTAACAGTATGTCAGACACACAGTTATCACCCTCCTACTAGTAAGTCGGACACAGTTAAAATGCTAACAATATTACTGAAGATGTTGGGAGACAAGGAACTTTTGGCATTTTCAGGCAGTGAGTTCCAAATTTTTGAGCATTTTATTACATGGAATATATCAGTAGTTTGTGTCAGAGATACTTATTCCTTGTATTGTGTCTGTGTACTCAAAGTTTGACATTTTTTCATATTTTAACAGAGCCAGCTTGGACAGGATGGGCATGATCAGGAACACCATGGAGAGGTAAGTTAAGCCGATAGTATTGATTCCTCACTCATTACTTCTTTTTCTTACTGCTTGTTATACAGTAGAATGCTCTCTACCAATGCCAGTGCTGAATACCCCATGCAGGTTTAGTTTTTTATAAATTATCATAAAAATATGCCCACCCTGCTAATCATATGTCTGATATAAACATACTGCCAGGCCTCCCTCCTGTGCTCACAGACAGCCCATCCCCCTCTCCTCTCACCTCTGCCAAGGTTTGGGACTCTCTTGTTGGGACAGTGGCTATCCACCCACCCCTGTCCTTTCCCCCCTCCCCTTTCCTTTCTGCCACCTTCCTTTCCTTCCCCTCCTTCCTCCCCCTCTTCTTACTCCCTCCTGTCCTCCCTCTCTCCTTTTCCTGACAATCACTAATGACCAAATAAATCTTTAGTTCTTTATCTCTCTTTACCAAATTAATGTAACCTCTTTATACATGCATACAAGGTATATACACAAAATATGAATGTATTTGGCAAACAGTTAACTAAGACACTATTGCTACTGACAAAATCTGGAATTAGAGTTTTTTTTCCAATTTTAGGATTCCAGTATCTGCCTGGTCAATTTTTTTTTTTCCTTAATTTAAAAAATCCATTGAATAGGGATCCTTGAATTTAGAGGCAGCACCTGGGACTAGTCCCCAAAACTTTATTTATGAAGAAGTGCAGGATACCACTAGCATGGAAAGTCAGTATTTGTTGGAGAAAGAGCTTAGATGTAGACAAAATTCCAGAGACTTTAAAAAATGTGGAAATAGCCCTTTTGCATAGAGGAGGCAGCATATCAATAGCATAAAATTAGACTTGTGTCACATACATCACACACATTATAAAAGTTTGAAAATACAACAAATAACCTGCACATAGGAGAAAGGAACCATGTTGATGTTTCGGTCTAACTATGACCACTAGTTAATGGTTGGACCAAAACATCTACGTGAGTTTCTTTCTCCTCACTGCGAATTATTTGTATATTGTTAGTCATGTTATTGGGCCTTATTATTCTTTAAAAGTTTGAAAGGGTGGTGAGATAACAAATTAAATTTTTTATAGTAAATCATACCTATACGACCCAAGCCAGCATGGATTTAAAGCAGTTAGGTCCTTATTATAAAGTCACAATAGCATTAGAAGAAACCAAAACACAGTTGTGGTCTTCAGATACTTTGCAAGGTTATTTTACAACAGTGGTCATAGAATGAAAGCTCATGTAATGAGATTAACAGATTTTTTTTTTTTTTTAACAAATCGGCCGTCTCCCACCGAGGCAGGGTGACTCAGAAAAAGAAAGAAAATACTCAAAAAGAAAATACTTTCATCATCATTCAACACTTTCACCTCGCTCACACATAATCACTGTTATTGCAGAGGTGCTCAGAATACAACAGTTTAGAAGCATATACATATAAAGATACACAACGTATCCCTCCAAACTGCTAATATCCCAAACCCCTCCTTTAGAGTGCAGGCACTGTACTTCCCATTTCCAGGACTCAAGTCCGGCTATATAAAAATAACCGGTTTCCCTGAATCCCTTCACTAAATATTACCCTGCTCACACTCCAACAGATCGTCAGGTCCCAAATACCATTCGTCTCCATTCACTCCTAACACGCTCATGCACGCTTGCTGGAAGTCCAAGCCCCTCGCCCACAAAACTCCTTTACCCCCTCCCTCCAACCTTTTTGAGGACGACCCCTACCCCGCTTTCCTTCCCCTACAGATATATACGCTCTCCATGTCATTCTACTTTGATCCATTCTCTAAATGACCAAACCACCTCAACAATCCCTCTTCAGCCCTCTGACTAGTACTTTTATTAACTCCACACCTTCTCCTAATTTCCACACTCCGAATTTTCTGCATAATAGCAGTAGTATTAAGGATAACAACATCGTAATTTTTTCTCTTGACCCATACGTTGAAGTTACTGTTGATATTCATAATTTGATATGAAAGTAAGCACAAAATAAAGTCACTAATTATGCAATGCATAATTAGTCACAAGTACATTGAGACAGGTTGTAAATGACAATTATTCAATTACAAAAAAATTACTTGTTATTGAAATTGGCTCAATAACCTGCATTTTACGATGTGATTGAATAGAGATGGTGAAATCGAAGCATGACAATTTACAGTTGGTCTTAGTAAAGTAAAAAATTGAGTAGACCACAGCACAGGCTGGTGCCCTTACCTTGTTTCAACTAAACATCTTAATGACAAATTTGATGTTACGCCTCCTTTGTTGCCCTGTCTTACAAGCTGTTATGGCCATCTGTAAATTATGTTTTATTCTTTTGTGCCTATATTATAATGAAAAAGATTTTTACTGTTTTTTTAACAGTGTTTTGTCTTTCAACAGTCCCTCCTTGGACAGGATGGACATGATCAGCAGCAACATAGCCAGGTGAGACTGTGATGATAAATTTCTTTTAGTTTGCTTAACCCTTTCAGGGTCGGCAGGCCCTCTCCTAAACTTGTTCTCAGGGTCGGAAATTTAAAAAAAAAAAAAAAAAAAAAATCTTATGGAATGATAGAGAATCTTTTCCCGATCATAATGACACCAAAAGTATGAAATTTGATGGAAAACTTATGGAATTATGCTCTTGCGAAGTTAGCAGTCTCGATGATGTTTACGCATCGGCGATTTTGCCCACTTTGAGCCTATCTTCGGCCAATTCCAATGTACCAGTCGACAAAAATCATAACTATTTCACTAGAACTCCATTTTTTTCTATCGAATGAGTACAAGAAACCACCCATTTACTGATTTCAACTATCCAATAAAGTGGTTAGAAATTGGCAATTTTACCAATTTCACACAAATTTCAAAAGATGCCAATTTCCAAATAGGGTCCAGAATAAACAAGACAGACATTCCTGGCACTAAAATAACATTTCTTCTGTTCATTAGTCACGTCCCCAGGCCTCTGTTACATTTCTTTTGTTTTCTACTTTGAATTTTTATTCTCGCAAAAAATAGAAGATTTACTGTTATGCAGACTACTGCGTTAGTGTAGAAATGGTATAAATAATATCAGCGCACTTGTGAAAGAATATTAGACTCGCCAGTTGACGTGTATTGGACGCATGACATGTTTTGTTTACTTTTGCACTTTGACAAAAATCAAACATTTCTGCTACTTTGAGCTCAATTTCAAGGTACTTTTCATTGTGAAACCAATCAAAATCATCTCAATTTCCATAATATGTCTTCCATTCTATAAAATGAGACCAGGAAAACTAAAATACAATCATAAATAGCATGCGAAAATACACTGCAAAGTCGCTGTTTTCAACCAAAAACACGTTCGGAGTTTTTTTTTTCTCGTGCACTGTGTGCTGCAGGATCTTTTTTATACTGCGCACACTGCCTACATAGACCCATTCTTCCATATGTAGGCCTACCAGCTTTCTCTCGCTAGATTTGAAGGTGCTAGAGTTTATGCGTACTAGTACAACACCAATCCTGGCGTGCAAGCCGTACTAGTATGGCACCAACCCTGAAAGGGTTAATATAGTATTGTGAGGCCAGACCATAAACCATGACTACCAGTGACTTCTTTTCTCAGTATTTCTCTTTATCCATTTCCTCACCTCTAAGTATTTGATTCAAGAACAAAATATAGATTATGATACAAATTTTTTTCAACATGTCATGCATCTCCCACCATTCACACATAATTATTGTCCTTGTAGAGATGCCCAAATATGACAGTTTAGATGTCACTACAAACAGCCAATATCCCAAACCCCTCCTTTAAATTGCAGGCATTGTACTTCCCACCTCCAAGACTCAGTCTGGCTAACCGGTTTCCCTGGATCCCTTCACAAAATATTATCCTGCTCACACCCCAACAGCTCATCAGGTTCCAAAAATAATTCACCTCCATTCATTCCTAATGTGTGGTTTAAATATTATGCAGAGAATATGTAGTGTGGAAATTAGGAGGAGGTGTGGAGTTACTAAAAATATTAGAAGGCTGAAGAGGGGTTTGGTCATTTAAAGAGGATGGAATAAAGTGGAATGACTTGGAGAACATATAAATCTGTAGTGGAAGGAAGGCAGGGTAGGGTTCATCCTAGGAAAGGTTGGAGGAGGGGGTAAAAGGAGGTTTTTTGTGTGAGGGGCTTGGACTTCCAGCAAACATGCGTGAGTGTGTTAGAGATAGGAGTGAATGGAGATGAATGATTTTTGGGACCTGACGAGCTGTTGGAGTGTGAGCAGAGTAATATTTTGTGAAGGGATTCAGGGAAACCGGTTAGCTGGACTTTAGGCCTGGAAGTGGTAAGTACAATTCCTGCACTTTAAAGGAGGGGTTTGGGATACTAGCAGTTTGGAGGGACATCTAAACTGTTGTACCTGAGTGCCTCTTCAAAGACAGTGATCACGTATGGGTGATGGTGAAAGTGTTAAATGATGATGAAAGTTTTTTCTTTCTTTTTGGCTTTTTCTTTCTGTGTGGGTCACTCTGCCTTGGTGGGAAAAAAATGTATACACCTACCATCCGACTTACGACCGAGTTCGATTCCGAGAAAGCGGTCGTAAGTCGAAATAGTCGTAAGTCGAACTTTACTACTGAATATCAACAAAACATTTTTGTAATGACTTTATTTTATTGTTTTATTTTGGTATTTCATGTTTTACTTTACTTTTTATGTTGTTAGTACTTTATTTTATACTGTAAGGTTTAGGATAAACACTGTACAACACAAATAGTTGTTTATTTCCCAGAAATTTGGCATAAAAAACACGGTCGTAAGTCGAGTGGTTGTAAGTCGAGCAGGTCGTAAGTCGGATGGTAGGTGTATATGAGTTATACTGCTGAAGAAAGTGATTGCTTTGTATTTATTATTTCTGCTTATGTTTCAGCCACTTCTTGGGGGAGATGATCATGACTTGATGCCTCATGGACGGGTAAGTCATAAACTGCAGCAGTGTCATTGATGATAAGCCGTGTTTAACTTTTCTAGTATTTACATCATTTTGCATTACTTAATTCTTTCATAGAGTAATATTTTAAAAATTATTTTATAAATTAAAGATACAGTGGTACCCTGTGTTTCAGCCATAACTCTTTCTCGAAAGCTGCTCGAGTGCCGTTACCGAACGAATTTGTTCCCATAAGGAATAATGTAAATTAGATTAGTCTGTTGTAGACCCCCAAAAATACACTTACAAAAGCCCTTACAATAAAACACTTACATAATTATTTGAGTTGGGAGCTATACGAAACTCAGGGTACCACTGTACAGGCATCCTTTGTTGAATTTTCAATTATTACTTTGGTCATTAATGTACACAGTTGACCCTTGAATGACACGGTTTGAACTTATACGCAGATTTTTTCAATAAATGTATTGGAACAATATTTAGAGATTTGTGACAATTTGAAAAAACTCGCAGACAAACCACACAGCCTAGAAATATGAAAAAAAATTAAGAAAAAGTTGGGTATATCATGAATGCATAAGATATATATATATAGATGTCTATTTTATCATTTACTCCCATAAAATATACACAAATATATAATAAAAAGTTAAAATTTTTCAAAATTTATGCACACAAACACTTACAAACATTCGCAGTTGAGAGAAATGTAAACAAACGTAAAGATGCAATATTAAATCGTAACAGCATAAAATTAACTGGAGTACATAGTGTACTGCTGTAATAATTTCGTATCTATTGCTGTTGCAGTGATCTCACGTGTTGCGAATATCTGCTTAAAATGCCGTGTAAAAGATTAAGATAAAAATAAAGATTTTATTTCTTTGCAAAGGTTACAGTGTGTAATTACAATTTTAATTTGTTTATTACAAAGAAAGCCACTATCATGCCGGAGCATTTCAAGCAGACTAATCCTAATACAGTGGACCCCCAACTTACGATATTAATCCGTTCTTGAGAGCCCATCATAAGACGAAATGATCGTAGGTTGAATTAATTTTTCCCTAAGAAATAATGGAAATCAAATTCATCCGTTCCTGACACCCCAGAGTATGAAAAAAAAAAATTACCACATGAAATATACATTTTCCTACACAGACAATCAAGGAGACATGCATAATAACTGTATATTATTGTGTAATGAACAATAAATGACACCTTTATTGAAGATCTGCCGATGAGTGATGAGATGGGAGGAGGGGAGATGATGTAGGTTATTTTTTGGAAGGGGAATCCCTTTCCATGAGGACTTTAGGTAGAATTTCCTTTTCTGGGATAATTTTCCTTCTTTTAATGCCACTGGGAACAACTTGACAGTCACTGGACGTCTGTCGCACCAAAAATCTTTCAATAGAGCTCTGTACTTCATGTTCCTTTAAGATTTTTCAAAAGTGGTTCACAACATTGTCATTGTACGGGTTGCCAACACGGCTTGCAATAGCTGTGTGAAAGTGGTTTTCATCCATAAAGGTTTGCATCTCAAGCCACTTTTCAAACATTTCCTTAATCTTTGAAGAAGGCAACTTCTTCAATTTTTCTCTCTCCTCCTCTGAAGCAGTTTCCTCAGGTCTGGCCTCTTGTTGTTGCAGATGCTCTTGCAGCTCATCAGTGGTTAGTTCTTCATCGTCCTCCACCACCAACTCTTCCACACCTTCCCCACTAACCTCCAACCCCAAGGACTTCCTCAATGCCACAATAGATTCCACAACTGGCATAGGCTCCTGAGGGTTAGCCCCAAACCCTTCAAAATCCCTCTCTTGTACACATTGTGGCCACAGTTTCCTCCAAGCAGAGTTCAAGGTCCTCTTAGTCACTCCCTCCCAAGCCTTACCTATAAGGTTTACACAACTGAGGATACTAAAGTGATCTTTCCAAAACTCTCTTAGGGTCAATCGAGTGTCTGAGGTCACTGCAAAGCACTTTTGAAACATAACTTTTGTGTAGAGTTTTTTGAAATTGGAAATGACCTGCTGGTCCATGGGCTGGAGGAGAGGAGTGGTATTAGGAGGCAAAAATTTGACCTTAATGAAGCTCATGTCCCCAGAAAGTCGCTCTGCCAAGTCTGAAGGATGACCAGGAGCATTGTCTAATAACAGGAGGCACTTAAGGCCCAATTTCTTTTCCAGGAGGTAATTTTTCAGTGGGGGCAAACACATGGTGAAACCAGTCATAGAAGAAGTCCCTAGTGACCCATGCCTTACTGTTTGCCCTCCACATCACACACAAATTAGCCTTGAGGACATTGTTTTTCCTGAACACTCTTTGAGTTTCAGAATGATACACCAATAATGGCTTCACTTTGCAATCACCACTAGCATTACCACACAACAAAAGAGTAAGCCTGTCTTTCATAGGCTTATGCCCTGGGACTGCCTTTTCCTCCTGAGTAATGTAGGTCCTGTTTGGCATTTTCTTCCAAAACAGGCCTGTTTCGTCACAATTAAACACTTGTTCAGATTTCAATCCTTCAGCCTCTATGTACTCCTTGAATTCCTGCACATACTTTTCAGCCGATTTTTGGTCCAAACTGGCAGCCTCACCATGCCTTATCACACTATATATGCCACTACAATTCTTAAATCTCTCAAACCAACCTTTGCTGGCCTTAAATTCACTCACATCACCACTAGTTACAGGCTTTTTTTTTTAATTAAATCGTCATGCAACTACCTTGCCTTTTCACATATGATCGCTCTAGAGATGCTGTCTCCTGATATCTGTTTTTTGTTTATCCACACTAATAACAGCCTCTCAACATTTTCGAGCACTTGCGATCTGTGTTTCGTAAAGATACTTGCACCTTTTGCAACAACAGCTTCCTTGATTGCCTGTTTGTTGGCCAGGATAGTAGAAATGATTGATTGGGGTTTGTTGTACAACCTGGCCAGCTCAGAGGCACGCACTCCACTTTCGTACTTATTCACTATCATCTCTTTCATTTCAATAGTAATTTTCACCCTTTTTATCACAGGGTTGGCACCAGAAGCTTTCTTTGGGCCCATGGTGGCTTATTTAGCAGTTAGAAGCACTAAAAAACTGTAAAAATAGAAAATGTTCCAAATCTATGCGTGGGAACGACCACTCTGGCTTGTAAACAATGGCACACTAACTGAAGGCAGGCCAGCTGAGGCTCGTTCAGGCCACGCAGACACGTGGACGTGCATATCGGACGAATGCTGTAGGTCGAGTTTTTCAATGTAGGTCGGGGTCAAATTTTTATGCTGAAACGCATCGTAGGTCGGTTTTCAAGTAGGTTGGGGACATTGTACGTCGGGGGTCCACTGTACTTAAAAACTTCTTAAGTCTAGACAGGATAAGAATGGGTATGTTTTTAATTATTCATTATTATTTAATTTTAATACTAATGCGAGGTTGTCAAAGTTGAAGGTTTATAAGAAGAATAATCTTGAAGTTGCAAACAGTGTTTTAATAAACTTGAGGTCATATAATATTTGGGAGAATTGCTTCAAACTGGTTAGATGTTGTTTTGGTTGGTTTGGTTAGTATGCAGTCAGGGGATCTTTTACTGGTTTGGGTAATGAATTCCAGATCTTCGGGCTATGTATGTACATTGCATTTTTGCGTAGTGTGAGACAAACACAAGGGATATCAAGGAATGCTTTGTGCCTTTTATTGTGACTGCATTCTGTTGTAGCTATCAAGGAGATATTTGAGCGGAGGGTTTATATTGGAGTTTAATGTTCTGTATATACAGTGGAACCTCTACTTGCGAGAGTGTCCATGTGCGAGTTTTTCCAAATACGAGCAGTCGATGGGTCGATTTTTTGCTTCCATACGCGAGCAAAATTTCCACAAGCAAGCAGACCTCAAGGCAGGTTCCTTGACACTGGTGAGGGATTCTTGCTCTTGATCTCGGGAATTGTATCTCATTTGTTTGTTGGACTATCTTATTGAAACTTGGGCAATGTATGATGGAAAGATGCTTCTTAACGTACACCAAAAATGAAAGAAATCTAAGCATAAATAATGGAGTTCACTTCTCAGCAATTAGCCACCCCTTTGCAGTAATTTCGAATGGTTTTTATGGTTGTATTCTCTTTTTTTGGTCTCATTTGATAGAATGGAGATATATTACAGAAATAGATACGATTTTAATTGCTTTCACGATGAAAAGTACCTTGAAATAGAGCTCAACCTAGGAGAAATGGTCCATTGCTTGGCTGTTTCAGAGTAAACAAATGACGTCACTGTCCATTCCAGTATGCAGTCGTGAATGGGTTGACATTATTTATTGCAATATGGAATAACAGTAAATCTTATATTTTTTGTGTGAATAAAAATTACAAGATTTCAGGGATGTCTTGCTACTTCTTACACTTAGGTCACACTGCATATACATGTACAAGCATTTATATGTATATATTCACACCCCTCTGGGTTTTCTTCTATTTTCTTACTAGTTCTTGTTCTTGTTGTTTATTTCCTGTTATCTCCATGGGAAAGTGGAACAAAATTCTTCCTCCGTAAGCCATGCGTGTTGTAAGAGGCAACTAAAATGCTGGGAGCAAGGGGCTAGTAACCCTTTCTCCTGTACAAATTACTTAATTTAAAAAGAGAAACTTTTGTTTTTCTTTTTGGACCACCCTGCCTTGGTGGGATACGGCCGGTGCGTTGAAAGAAGAAAAAGAATAATCATATTATAATTTTATTAAAACACTGGCCGATTCCCACCAAGGCAGGGTGGCCCAAAAAAGAAAAACTTTCACCATTATTCACTCCATCACTGTCTTGCCAGAAGGGTGCTTTACACTACAGTTTTTAAACTGCAACATTAACACCCCTCCTTCAGAGTGCAGGCACTGTACTTCCCATCTCCAGGACTCAAGTCCGGCCTGCCGTTTCCCTGAATCCCTTCATAAATGTTACTTTGCTCACACTCCAACAGCACGTCAAGTATTAAAAACCATTTGTCTCCATTCACTCCTATCAAACACGCTTACGCATGCCCGCTGGAAATCCAAGCCCCTCGCACACAAAACCTCCTTTACCCCCTCCCTCCAGCCTTTCCTAGGCTGACCCCTACCCCGCCTTCCTTCCACTATGGACTGATACACTCTTGAAGTCATTCTGTTTTGCTCCATTCTCTCTACATGTCCGAACCACCTCAACAACCCTTCCTCAGCCCTCTGGACAACTGTTTTGGCAATCCCGCACCTCCTCCTAACTTCCAAGCTACGAATTCTCTGCATTATATTCACACCACACATTGCCCTCAGACATGACATCTCCACTGCCTCCAGCCTTCTCCTTGCTGCAACATTCATCACCCATGCTTCACACCCATATAAGAGCGTTGGTAAGACTATACTCTCATACATTCCCCTCTTTGCCTCCAAGGACAAAGTTCTTTGTCTCCACAGACTCCTAAGTGCACCGCTCACCCTTTTCCCCTCATCAATTCTATGATTCACCTCATCTTTCATAGACCCATCTGCTGACACATCCACTCCCAAATATCTGAATACATTCACCTCCTCCATATTCTCTCCCTCCAGTCTGATATCCAATCTTTCATCACCTAATCTTTTTGTTATCCTCATATCCTTACTCTTACCTGTATTCACTTTTAATTTTCTTCTTTTACATACCCTGCCAAATTCATCCACCAACCTCTGCAACTTCTCTTCAGAATCTCCCAAGAGCACAGTGTCATCAGCAAAAAGCAACTGTGGCAACTCCCACTTTGTGTGATTCTTTATCTTTTAACTCCACGCCTCTTGCCAAAACCCTCCCATTTATTTCTCTTACAACCCCATCTATAAATATATTAAACAACCACGGTGACATCACACATCCTTGTCTAACTTGAGCCTCACTATCCTCGTAAAAACTCTTCACTGCTTTCAGTAACCTACCTCCTATACCATACACCTGCAACATCTGCCACATTGCCCCCCTATCCACCCTGTCGTACGCCTTTTCCAAATCCATAAATGCCACAAAAACCTCTTTAGCCTTATCTAAATACTGTTCACTTATATGATGTAGGGCGAAATGACAGTAGTTTGTTGGATTATGTATTGGTAGATAAAAGACTGTTGAGTAGACTTCAGGATGTACATGTTTATAGAGGGACCACAGATATATCAGATCACTTTTTAGTTGTAGCTACACTGAGAGTAAAAGGTAGATGGGATACAAGGAGACTAGAAGCATCAAGGAAGAGAGAGGTGAAGGTTTATAAACTAAAAGAGGAGGCAGTTAGGGTAAGATATAAATAGCTATTGGAGGATAGATGGGCTAATGAGAGCAAAGGCAATGGGTTTGAAGAGGTATGGGGTAGGTTTAAAAATGTAGTGTTAGAGTGTTCAGCAGAAGTTTGTGGTTACAAGAAAGTGGGTGCGGGAGGGAAGAGGAGCAATTGGTGGAATGATGATGTAAAGAGAGTAGTAAGGGAGAAAAAGTTAGCATATGAGAAGTTTTTACAAAGTAGAAGTGATGCAAGGAGGGAAGAGTATATGGAGAAAAAGAGAGAGGTTAAGAGAGTGGTGAAGCAATGTAAAAGAGAGAAAATGAGAGAGTGGGTGAGATGTTATCAACAAATTTTGTTGAAAATAAGAAAAAGTTTTGGAGTGAGATTAACAAGTTAAGGAAGCCTAGAGAACAAATGGATTTGTCAGTTAAAAATAGGAGAGGAGAGTTATTAAATAGAGAGTTAGAGGTATTGGGAAGATGGAGGGAGTATTTTGAGGAATTATTAAATGTTGATGAAGATAGGGAAGCTGTGATTTCGTGTATAGGGCAAGGAGGAATAACATCTTGTAGGAGTGAGGAAGAGCCAGTTGTGAGTGTGGGGGAAGTTCGTGAGGCAGTAGGTAGAATGAAAGGGGGTGAGGCAGCTGGGATTGATGGGATAAAGATAGAAATGTTAAAAGCAGGTGGGGATATAGTTTTGGAGTGGTTGGTGCTATTATTTAATAAATGTATGGAAGAGGGTAAGGTACCTAGGGATTGGCAGAGAGCATGCATAGTTCCTTTGTATAAAGGCAAAGGGGACGAAAGAGAGTGCAAAAATTATAGGGGGATAAGTCTGTTGAGTATACCTGGTAAAGTGTATGGTAGAGTTATTATTGAAAGAATTAAGAGTAAGACGGAGAATAGGATAGCAGATGAACAAGGAGGCTTTAGGAAAGGTAGGGGGTGTGTGGACCAGGTGTTTACAGTGAAACATTTAACTGAACATATAAGTGAAAATAATAATAATAATAATAATATGTATAATAATAATATGTATAATAATATAATACAATAATAATCATAAAAATAATATAATATGTATAATAATAATACATATATAATAATAATGTACTACATATAATAATTATAATAATAGATGGTTTCAAAAGGCCGTCATTAGATGGCAGTGTTTACCACAACAAAGAGGGAGCGGTTGTGGCTACCTCCACCTGTTACATAATGACATATTTTATTCATTCTAGAGTATATCATGTTTCTATGTTATTTATATTGTTTGTTATGTCATATTAGATGAACTGTGATATATAAATAAGCCGTGTAGATGATATTAGCAAAATTATTCATGAAGTATTTTGCCCAGTCTCCAGACAAACTCTCGTCCACCGCTGACACTGCCCATACCACTACATGAATGACATATTTTATTCATTTTAGAGTATATATCAGGTTTCTATGTTATTTATATTGTTTATTATGTCATATTAGATGAAGTGAGATAGATAAATAAGCCGTAGAGTTGATATTAGCAAGATTATTGAAGTACAGAATTCCACTGGAATGGATTAATTGCATTTCAGTTAATTTAAATGAGGAAAATTGACTCTGCAAATGAGCAAATCCAGTTGCGAGCAAGGTCATGGAATGGATTATCCAGTTGCGAGCAGGGTCATGGAACGGATTATCCAGTTGCGAGCAAGGTCATGGAACGGATTATCCAGTTGCAAGCAAGGTCATGGAACGGATTAAACTCGCAAGTAGAGGTTCCACTGTACTACACTACACATAGAGAATTATGGTAAGGACAATTTGGTTAATCAGTCTCGGTAAGATCTGCTTCTTTAAGGAAGTTGGACAGTTAAGCATAGTGCAGTATTCAACCTAAAGCTGAAGGAAACCACTTTTGAAACCACATAGCCTGACTTGCAGTTGATGTTCAAAAGTCCAGATTTTAATCACCTATTGGCCTGTAGCCAGTGTCATAACGTTCCGTAGACTCTGAAAGATGGGTGGGTATATTGCAGTTCTAACGGTCATTTCAATTGTGATGTATGTGCTCTTCTGACAAGACAGCTGTTGAATGAGTGATGCTAGAGTGCAGGAGTTTTTTTTTTTTTTTTTTTTTTTTTTTTTTTTTTTTTTTTTTTTTTTTTTTGTCACCCTCTCTCATTGGATGACAGCTTGTACATGTATATTAAAGAAATATTAAACAAATAATATGTAGGCTTTTAAAGTTAATAAAATTTTTTAAAGCCTGCCCAAGGAGGTGATGACCATGACAAGAAGACACACAATAAGGTTTGTTGTATTGTACTTGAGAAATGTATAGATTGTTGACACCAACAATATGCATGCAACACCTCATATTTACTTAGTGGCCACTCAGTAAATCGTTGAGTCGACACTGCAAAATACTCCAACGAATTTCAATGTTTTATCATTTCTCTTGCACTAGATGGTCTATGGGAAATGTTACTGAAGCTGATTATATATCAGGCAGCTCTCATGTTGCTGAGGAGGCTGCATTTTCATGTATTCTTGTCCCCCATTTTGAACTTGCCTGTTGGACTATTTGGCAGCTTATATTTTGGTTACCAGTGATTGCAATGGGGCCCTGTAAGCTTATTTTGGGAGAGAAGGCTTTTGTTATTGCCCTGGAAAGAGGAGGGCATGGAATCACAATGGACAGTGATTATTTCAAGAATATCTCTAATATGCTCTCAAGAATTAAGCAGGTAATACAGCCTCTCCTCGCTTAACAGCGGAGTTCCATTCCTAAGACCACATGGTTAAACGAATTTGTCACTAAGTGAGGAGCATACTACAGTATAATGGTAGTGAGTTTGCGTCAACCATTTTTTATATTGTTTTAATCTCACCTTTGCACCATTTATAACATTTCTGTTATATTTTTAAATGTTTATACAGTAGTGTACTGTATATTGAAATAAACAGAATAAAGGAAATCAGCTCTAATATATGTTATTAAGGTATGAATACTGGTCAGAGAGCCCTTCATAAATCTGAGGCATTGGTAAATGAGTATGTTGATAATTGAGGAGAGGCTGTAAAGGCTAAAGATGGAATGAGTCAGTATTAGGTTACAAAAGTAATGTAATTATTCAATTCTTTTTTTATTTCCCCTTTTTAATAATATTTTGCATGTAAAATGATAAAATGTCAGTGATTTTTATTGTCAATGATTTTGTTTGTGGGCACTGTACAGTTATCACCCTGAATGGTCACTTTGCTTGCCTTTGATCTTTTCAATGTTTTGCCATCTGATTATGAACTTAAGGTCACTTCTTGCATAAATCTCATTTTCAATGGATAAAGCACACTAAATGCTTAGTATTTATCACATAGCCTTGTAATAATATTTGTACAGTATTATTGCTCTTATTATGCTCTCATCTTCTCTAAATCCTTGTGTGTACAGTGTACGTTATTGGTCTTTTGTCTGTGTGTTTGTAATTTTGTACTTCTCTATTTATAATTATATGTTGTACTTTCGAGGTTTGAGCTTCATTTCTTGGTGTCATCTCTGTCTTCAACATACTTAGGTGAAATACCCTGTTGTATCTTTGTGTGGAGTTTGCTTCCAGTGTGTCATTGTTCATGACAGTCTGCTTCTTTATGGCTCCTAGGTTGAACAAATTGTTTCTGATGTACCTGTGGATTATTTAGGTGTACAATATCTAGTCAAGCCCCTTTTGTTCTTGCTCAATCCTGGTAGAGTCTACCTTTATCTACCCTGTGTGCACCCAAGAGTATTTTTTGTCATTACCATATCCTCTTATTTCTTAAGTACTCAGTGGCTCTTAATTCGGGATGGGGGCTTGACCCCCTAAGGGAGTATGACTTTTTTACTTAACTGGACTTTTTTTAATAGTTAAAATAATAAAGTTAAAAATGGAAACTAGTTTCACAGTTTTCCCATTTAACATTTTAATTGTGTCAACTGATGACTGTCCAATGTACTAGTGTGCAACAAATGATTATGTGTCCAACATGCTAGTATGCACAACTTTTTGTACCTCCAGATGATGACTATGTGTCTGACATAATAATACACCTAACTAGCATAAGCAAACAATGAACCAGAAGCTGTTGTTTCACCATCAGCTTCCCTACCAGTAAACAGTGTGTGCAAGTGGATGAAAGATGATTTATTCATTCCACATTTTTTTTTTTAACACATCGGCCGATTCCCACCAAGGGAGGGTGGCCCAAAAAAGAAAAACTTTAATCATCATTCACTCCATCACTGTCTTGCCAGAGGGGTACTTTACACTACAGTTATAAAACTGCAACGTTAACACCCCTCCTTCAGAGTGTAGACACTGTACTTCCCATCTCCAGGACTCAGGTCTGGCCTGGTGGTTTCCCTGAATCCCTTCATAAATGTTACTTTGCTCACACTCCAACAGCACATCAAGTATAAAAAACCATTTGTCTCCATTCACTTGTATCAAATACTCTCATGCACACTTGCTGGAAGTCCAAGCCCCTCGCACACAAAACCTCCTTACCCCCTCACTCCAACCCTTCCTAGGCCAACCCCTGGCCCGCCTTCCCTCCACTACAGATTTATACACTCTTGAAGTCATTACACAAATAACCCGCACATAAAAGAGAGAAGCTTAGTCATTCTGTTTTGTTCTGTTTTCTCTGCATGTCCGAACAACCTCAACAACCCCTTTTCAGCCCTCTGGATAATAGTTTTGGTACTCCCACACCTCCTAATTTCCAAACTATGAATTCTCTCCATTATATTCACACCACACACTGCCCTCAGACATGACATCTCCACTGCTTCCAGCCTTCTCTTCATTGCAACATTCATCACCCATGCTTCACACCCATACAAGAATGTTGGTACAACTATACTCTCATACATTTCCTTCTTTGCTTCCACAGACAAAGTTCTTTGTCTCCACAGATTCCTAAGTGCACCACTCACCCTTTTCCCCTCATCAGTTCTGTGATTCACCTCATCCTTCATAGACCCATCTGCTGACACATCCGCTCCTAAATATCTGAATACATTCACTTCCTCCATACTTTCTCCCTCCAGTCTGATATCCAATCTTTCATCACCTAATCTTTTTTGTTATCCTCATAACCTTACTCTTTCTTATATTCACTTTTAATTTTCTTCTTTTACATACCCTACCAAATTCATCTACCAACCTCTGCAACTTCTCTTCAGAATCTCCCAAATGCACAGTGTCATCAGCAAAGAGCAACGTGACAACTCCCACTTTGTGCATGATTCTTTATCTTTTAACTCCACACCTCTTGCCAAGACCCTCGCATTCACTTCTCTTACAACCCCATCTATAAATATATTGAACAACCACGGTGGCATCACACATCCTTGTCTAAGGCCTACTTTTACTGGGAAATAATCTCCCTCTCTCCTACATGCTCTAACCTGAGCCTCACTATCCTCGTAAAAACTCTTCACTGCTTTCAGTAGCCTACCTCTTATACCATACACCTGCAACATCTGCCACATTGCCCCCCTATCCACCCTGTCATATGCCTTTTCCAAATCCATAAATGCCACAAAAACCTCTTTACCCTTATCTGAATACTGTTCACCTATAGGTTTCACACCCCCTACCTTTCCTAAAGCCTCCTTGTTCATCTGCTATCCTACTCTCCGTCTTACTCTTAATTCTTTCAATAATAACTCTACCATACACTTTACCAGGTATACTCAACATTCTTCTTTCTTTCAACGCATCGGCCGTATCCCACAGAGGCAGGGTGGCCCTAAAAGAAAAACAAAAGTTTCTCTTTTTAAATTTAGCTATTTATACAGGAGAAGGGGTTACTAGCCCCTTGCTCCTGGCATTTTAGTCACCTCTTGCAATATGCATGACTTACAGAGGAAGAATTCTGTTCCACTTCCCCATGGAGATAAGAGGAAATGAACAAGAACTAGAAAGAAAATAGAAGAAAACCCTGAGGGGTGTGTACATATATGCTTGTACATGTATGTGTAGTGTGACCTAAGTGTAAGTAGGAGTAGCAAGACATACCTGAAATTTTGCACGTTTATGAGATAAAAAAGGACACCAACAATCCTACCATCATGTAAAACAATTACAGGCTTTAGTTTTACACTCGCTTGGCAGGACGGTAGTACCTCCTTGGGCGGCTGCTGTTTACCAACCTACTACCTGTACTCAACAGACTTATTCCCCTATAATTTTTGCACTCTCTTTTATCCCCTTTGCCTTTATAAAAGGAACTATGCATGCTCTCTGCCAATCCCTAGGTACCTTACCCTCTTCCATACATTTATTAAATAATAGCACCAACCACTCCAAAAGTAAATCTTCATCTGCTTTTAACATTTCTATCTCTATCCCATCAATCCCAGCTGCCTTACCCCCTTTCATTCTACCCACTGCCTCACAAACTTCCCCCACACTCACAACTGGCTCTTCCTCACTCCTACAAGATGTCATTTCTCCTTTCCCTATACATGAAATCACTGCTTCCCTTTCTTCATCAACATTTAACAGTTCCTCAAAATATTCCCATTTATTACAGGATAATAAATTTGGAATGACTTATCACACCTTGAAACAACTGTAATATTATAAATATTTCTTGTACATAGTGTTGGAAGACTAGAACAGTTAAAAAATAGAATGACAATTATTTAACCAATACATATATGCATGTAAGCCATGCATGTTGTAAAAGTCAACTAAAATGCCGGGAACAATGGGCTAGTAACCCCTTTTCCTGTAAAGATTACTAAAAAGAATAAGAAGAAGAAAATTGTCAAAGTGGGAAGTCTGAATGTGCGTGGATGTTGTGCAAATGATAAGAAAGAGATGATTGTGGATGTTATGAATGAGAAGAAACTGGATGTCCTGGCTTTAAGTGAAACAAAGCTGAAGGGGGTGGGAGAGTTTCAATGGAGAGGAATAAATGGGATTAGGTCAGGGGTTTCAAATAGAGTTAGAGCTAAAGAAGGAGTAGCAATAATGTTGAAGGATAAGCTATGGCAGGAAAAGAGGGACTACAAATGTATAAATTCAAGGATTATGTGGAGTAAATAAAGATTGGATGTGAAAAGTGGGTTATAGTAAGCGTGTATGCACCTGGAGAAGAGAGAAGTGTAGAGGAGAGAGAGAGATTCTGGGAAATGTTGAGTGAATGCGTGGGGAGTTTTGAATCAAGTGTGAGAGTAATGGTGGTTGGGGATTTCAATGCTAAAGTGGGTAAAAATGTTATGGAGGGAGTAGTAGGTAATTTTGGGGTGCCAGGGGTAA